GGGTACATGACGTGATCCTGCAGCTCTCACACAGCCTAGCCGGAAACGGACAGCACGCATCGCAAGCCCTCATTCCGCAACCAACGCATGGGACAAGAGGAGGGCCGGCAACGGGGACCCTAACGCCACACTTGGTGCACTTGTCTCGCCCATCGTCTCCTCTGATTGCTTCAGGAAGAAGACCACCATCCCCTGGCCTACCGGCACCATTAACACTGTAGCCTTGGCATGGACTCGCTCCAGCATTACTGGCGTGCCCGATGCTTGCAGGGTAGCCTGGAGCAACGGTGGGCTGACTAACGCCAGCACCAATGCCCTGATTGTAGACACCACCTCCATAAGCTGGGCCATAGAAACTCGATCCACATTGGTTGTTCTCAGCTCCATGAGAGTCAGTAGCAGTGCCATAGAACCCGGGCGCTCCAGGGTATCGCCCGGTGAATTCACGTGTGCTACATGCAGTCGTGAGTTTTGCAGGCTGTGCGAGGGTGAGGATGGAGATTGTTGCAATTGTCACTTCCTGAAGATTAAGTGTTGGGCATGTCGCAAAAATGCCCAGGAGGTTTCAATGTATCTCTGCTCGGATTGCGGGAATTCAGTATGAGGATCACATTCTTTTTGGTAGCGACGGGTTTGAGCGATGTGCGCGATGCAATACGCGGCGTGAACGGGCTGACGCTGGACCGCCCCCTCCTCCTCCTCCTCCCGGGGGAGGAGGCGGAGGTGGTGGTCATGGACCTGCTCCATTTCCACTCCAGACCTGGACTGGGCATCCGGACCTGGACATCCAGGCGGGGGTCAAGGTCCCGCTCCTACGATCATTTGGATTGTCGAGCGCACAGATCTTTGGCGCACTTGGGCCGCCGGTGCCTGGCGCACCTCTTGCAGCCGGTGCCGAGACCCGTCCACGATCGGATTGGGTCCCAGGGGTCCTCCAGCTATCACCGGGACTCTGGATATCGGCATGAGCTCTGCTCCCAGGAGTCCTCCAGCTATCTGCATGGGCCCTGCTTACCCTACCACCTCCAGGATTACGGTTAGGGTTCGGAGAGACGCTCCCGCTATCGCGGACCGGCCTGTCTGGGTTTGGAGAAATGCTCCCGCTATCGCGGATCGTCCTTTCCCCCCCTCGATTCCGGACCTCAGATCCCCTATCAGGGACGGCAGCAGGCCTCGGGCTCCCTGCTTGGGGAAACTGAAACGTCCCCCCTTTGGGGGCCATCCCTCGCGCGCCCTGTCAGGCAGCTGCTGTCAGCCCTTTCCCTATCGGGATGAATGGGATGCCTGTCTGCACGAGACCCTATCGGGCACAGTCGGCAGAGCATGGTCAGTCAAGCCAACACCCCACCCGTCCTTGTTGTACCCCTACCATTTCCTTCTCCAGGAGTGGGCGTCGGTGATCTGATCCTATGACCCTGTCCAGCAAAGGCGTTGTACCCAATATTCCGCCTCTCTCTGGGTCCTTGAGGGCTCTGCTGGTTCTGCTGGACACCCTGAATTATGTCAGCAGCCTCATCGACATGACCTTCAATATCAGAAAGCTGAGCCATGATTCTGTTATTCATTCCATTCAGAGTACGCATGTTACTCTCGACTGTGGTAATTCTCCGCATTGCGCCTTCCAGCGTGCTTCGAAATGAATCGAGTTCACGCCTAACGGCGGACCGTGCTTGATCACTACTCGCTGGGAGATTACGAATCTGCCTTCTGATATCATCAAGAACTTGATTCAGAATCCCCGATCTCGCCTCGTACTGCTCAACATGGGACTTCACGGTCTCAAACCTCGCAATGACATCGTCATGATCCCGACGTTGACGTTGAACTCCGCGAGATAGATCCTGGATCTTCCGATGGACCTCGCAATTGCTTCATGCCAGTCTTGCGGGGAATCAGGCCCTGAGGGTCTATCGACCGCCTGGGAACCCCTTCCGCTTTGCAGCCTCGATATTCGCTCAGCAAGACTAACTTGTTCTTCATTGATACCACCAATAGATTCGGAGACCCACTTTGCAAACCTCTCGTGTTCAACAAGGATCTTCTCGAGCTTCAGGTTTAGTTCCCTGAAATTCGCGTTCGCCCCACTGCTGGCAGCCCTATCGGGCAATTGCGTTGCAAGGTCACCTGTCGGCGTCCTCATCCCAACGGTTTTCTCTACCGAGAACATCCGCCCCTCTAGCTTCTCCAAATCCTTAAGCATCTCATCCTCGGAAGCAGCATGGCTCCTGCGGATGGCCTGATGGTTCTCCTGAATGACCTGACGAAGCTGGCTAGTTGCGACTTCATTGTCCTCAACGGATTCATGAACTTCGTTGGAAAGGAAGTTGATCCTCTGATCCACAATCTCAGCCTGTTCATCGATGGCTTGCCTCACAATAGCCCTGCTGTCAGGGACAATCTCGCTGGCAAACCGCTGAACTATCATTCGCATCCTACCGGCATCAGATTGAGTCGCAATCTCAGTGGCCAAACGACTGACCCTGTCCTTCGTCTGCTGATTCTCGTCGCTCCAATCCTTTCGCATGGAACACACCTGACCGTTCAGTAACCTGATTTGGTCAGCAAAGATATGGAACGCTTTCGCGACTGAACCAGACACCTCTAGCGTCACCTGACTCACTGGAGGAATGGGACCTGTGGGCTGGAGGAGTCGATATCTCGATCCTCTCAGGAGCCCCACTAGCTCTAGCATATCTTCTGGGGTCGCCTGCAGGACTATCATCAATCCTGGATGGCCTACTCGGGGTAGACCCCCTTCTCCGGCTATCGCCAGATCGGGGATCAATATTGGATGCACGAGACTCAGGAGTAGAGTGGATATGAACATCAGCAGGATCGAACATTTCCTCGTCCTGCTGAGTTGAAAACCTAACGGTGAAGGGCTAGCCCTCCTCGCCTTCGACCTATCGGTCTCAATGGCCAGGGGTGACGGCCTCTTTGCGGAAGCACTACGTTCCCTGGCGGTCGATCCCCATTGAGGTGTGAACTCGTTGCTAGACCTTAGCGTTTCGAGGTCACTGTGATCTCGCCCTAACGGGCTAGCGATCGACGGACGATCCTCGATTCCAAGTGCATCGGCAAGCCGACCATCTCTTGCACCGTCCCAACGACATCGGCAGCCCGTTCAGTGATCCTCGGCGAACCAGTAGCCCGGTTCGAGTTCTCGTCTCTCTGATGCAACGGACCTCCAAAATGTAATGTTGGGAAAAGGGGGAACATTCGGGGTATTATCAACCACCGGAGGACCTATCGGTCCCTCCCGGTCATGGATGGCCTCCAATCCCCGAAGAACTTCCCGGCTATCCCTGACTCTCTCTCTCTCTCGCTTCGGGCGTCCCTGTCAACACGGAGGTCCCTAGCGGCTCCACGAGAGAGGCTCCTGGGCCTTGCAGCAGCACGGCTCCTTGCATTTCGGCGTGATTGGTCCTCCTCCTCATCCGCAAAATTGTAATCTTCACCATTGTCAAACTCAAACTTGGCAGCCACAGGGTTGGGCCTATCGGCATCAGACTCCTGCTTTGCGCTACCACCCCAGCCTGCGGTTGATTTCAACAGATCATCGTATCCGAAGCCTGTGAATTTCCTCTCCTCATGCTCATCAAACTGACCTGGATTTTGAGAACCGGTTGACCGACCCGAGATATCTCTCGGAGCCAGAACCATGGTTCCTGGTCCTCGCGGCCTGTCCCCGAGCTCATCCGAGACCTGCGATTCACCTGGAACAAGAGATCTTGCATGGCCTCCGGGTCGTCCGAATGGGGGCGGGCCATGTTCATCGCCATGCTGATGAAGTCGAACTGTCCGTGCCTGAGACCTGATTCAGAGCCGCTCCTATCGGGGCGAGCTCTTTGTGCTTGCTCATCATCAGTGGCCTGACGGAAAATGCGATCGTCTCCATCATCGGTGTACCTGCCACGGCTTCTGGGTGTGTCCCTACCGGGATCTTCACCCCTGCGGCCCTGACCTGTCGAACCTGCTTCGAAATCCTCGTAGTCGAAGTCCGGTAGGTCCTCACCTGAGCGAAGGCCACCTAGGATGGCCTCCTCATCCACGACGCTCCTCCGAGATCGTGGGGTCGACGTCATTGAACTTGTAGTTGATGGTCTCAAGCGCGTAGGAAAGTCCTACGGCTGATAACCTGTGATTCGGGCACGAGCCTGTGCCCAGGCAATGGGTAAGTTGGGGTAAACAAGCCACAAAAGAAAGGTTCCCCAAAAGCAAACCAATCCCCGGTCCCAAAGATCAGGGTTTCCCACACACCAGAGAACAACAACCAAAGGAAAACAAACCAAACAAGAAAAGGGTTAACCCGCAACCTTGGTCGACAACAGGCCGCACGACTGGTCCCTACCAACCTGGCGGCGGCCCGAGGTCTCTTTCTCCCCCGAGATGCCGTCGGTCGACGCAGGGGTTCGGCGACGCCCATTCGAGGCGCGACGGAACCCGTAATTCTTGAGCCAAAGTGGCACCGGATAGTTGCTATCGCAACATGCCGGTAGTCACCTGAAATGCGTGGCTAATCACACAATATTATTTTTGATTTTTTTTTAATGAATGAACTTAACCTTGCCTATCTTTTCTACCATCCAATAACCATATCCTATGAACCACCCTATACTCCTATTTCCACTCAAGCATCCTAACAATGACAAGAATGATGGAATAGAAATGAGAAAAATGTGACTTTTTTGATGGATTTTGAGGTTGAGACTGTTATGAAATGATTTGAGTGGAAATATGCATAATCAATAAGGATGACGATTTGAATAGTAAAAAAATGGTTGAAAAATGCTGTTCTTGCGTAGGGAGGGGGGCACGCTAGGATACCTCTAACTATATGCCGCTGATATGCCTCGTGAGAGCAGTGATGCTCGCAGTGAGCTGACAGTTTGCATGGCTCATCTCTTGGAATCTTGACACTGGCATTGCGACTCTCACGCGCAAGGCCGCCCATGCCAATGAAACCGGTGCCTTCACCGAGCTTGCCGAGTCGCCACTTTCGATGCCATCATTTCGATTCAGTTCGATTCTTCGAATTTCAGCGGGCAGTGTCGGGTGCACTTGGCCGTGAAGGAGCTATACAAAGGTCAGCCTAGCCTTGGCCCTAGGAAAGAAACCCGTTCGCCAAGCTGCCAGTTCGCCAAGGAGCTGGCCCAAAAAAGGGGAGGCAACAATCACAGCTTGCTCTCACCGTCTATTTTCACTGTGTGGCACTCTTCGCCTAAGCTCCACACATCTCCCATCTCCACACAGGCGCTGAGCTGGGAGCGGGGAGCGCCAAAGATTTTTCGCACACATCCTGCAAACGGCGAAAAGGCGCACTCAAAACACCAAACACGTGACTCACGTGACTCAAAAGACGCCTCTATCCGATGAAAACATGTTGGTCCTGTGGACACCCTCCTGTTCAGGAGGAGTCCCGTTCGGAGCTTCAACGGCGGCCGATCCAGCAGCCTCGGGCCGTGCTGCTTTGGCCGTCCACAGATTCAGATTTCGCCAAGCGGCCATAAGAAGCTCGCAAAAACCACCTGCATCACCATCACGACCAAGGCCTTAGCGACGAGAATGCAAGCCAAAGAAACAAACACAAATCGCCACTTTCGGCTGAGCCACGCCAAAGAAATGCCATTCATAGATGCAGAGGAAGTCAAATGTGAAGCGCACGACTTGCTCATATCCAAGTGGGCTCCCTCTTGGCAGCACAAGTCTCGCTACCCCCCAGATCACGAACTTGGAGGCGTTCAGGAAGCTGATCAAGATCAGGGTGGCAACCAGCAGAGAGCCAAAGTCCGGATTCTCCTGGGCGCTGCGTTTTTTGCGAGCACGATTCGGCAATGCCTAGAAATCTGTGCGCCCAATAGGGTCAACAGCCGGCTGTTCGACCTGAGCTGCAGCCTGGGCTCCACGATGTACGTCGAGATGTACACCACCAACCTCAGAAAGCGGCGAAGCGGTCGGCTCCGGTCGGCTCCAGTCGGCTCCCGACGAAAGAACACGAGACGAAATGAGACTTGAGAAATGAGATCTGGACAGTCCCAGGCAGGGGATCGCCAGCACGATCATGCCGGCGGACTTGATGCCGGAGAAGCGGAGCACGGAGCGGAACAAGAAGAGGATGAACATGCCGCATAGGGGCGCCCAGGTCTGATCAAAGATGTTGGAGGTGGTCATGAAGAGGTACAAGATGCAAACGGCCAAACTGGATAAAAAGGGCAGCGACAGGGAGCGGTTGGCTTGTTTCAGCTCCTGCTCCAAGGCGGCCTCGTAGATGCACGTGGGCTTGCCGTGGGTCATGCGGTCGTGGAGGCTGGGGGACTTGGCGATGAAGCGCACGAGCTCGCGGACCTGCTCCATGAGCGCCTTGGCCGGGGGCTGGAACAAGACGGGGGCCAAGATCCACACGAAGGCCGTGAAGGACACCAAGACCATGGGCAGCGCCCCGTCCGAGTTCAGGGACCGATACAGCACGATGACGTACAAGATCTTCAGGGCGGGCCGGTAGTGGGAGTGCCAATAGGCCAAGAATGCATCCAGCAGGGTGTAGCTCTTGTTGGCGTGCGGCCGCCCCGTGTTCACGTACTCCGCGGTGTTGGCCACGAAGGTGGTCCTCACGGAGGAGGACATGGCCTTGTTGATGAAGATGAAGTACATCATGGACATCGGGGCCGTGAGGAGGTAGTTCTTGCACATCCAGAGCGGGCCGTACTCGATGCCCAGGCCGATGATGGCCGGCAGCATGGCCGTGAAGGCCGGGGTGAGGAACCACTCGGCCGCCAGCATGGAGCCCAAATCCCCCAGGTCCGAGATGGATTTGGAGGCCAGGGTGAGGTACATGAAGATCAGCAGGAAGATCTCCGTGCTGATGTCTACCAGCACGTTGTGCACGTACCAGGCCACTGTGGCGAAGTACAGAGCGAAGGTCTCCATCACCGAGGCGTTGCCGCACAAGGCCCGCAGGTCTCGCGTGCGCATCAGGCCCACGCTGCCGCTGGCGATCTTCCAAAAGAAGCCGCTCCCCGCCAGGAACTGCACCTCACGGCCCTTCTCCCACTCCAGGTAATCCGTGTGCAAGCTCTGCTCGTGCCGCGTCTTCACGTTCAAACCCGCGAAGATGTCCTCCGACAAGTTGATGTGGGGAGAAGCCTTGGACACCGAGCCCCGGTTGGCAGCCCAGAAGCCATCCATGAAGTCCGGATGCCCGTAGTGCATGCGAACCGTCAAAAACTCCAACAAACGCTGCACCAGCGTCCCGAAGGTCCACTCCGCATCCTGCCCGAAAACACCTCTCCCCAAAACCAACCAGCAAGCAAATCAACGGCGCTCTCCCAAGCCGACCTGGAAACCGATTGCTTACCGATTGCTTACCGATTGCCTACTGGTTTCCGTCATTTTACCGGCACATTCGACCGATTGCCCGGTCCGCCATGATCTGGCCCACCAGGCCGTGCTCCCGGGTGAAGATGTGCTCGCGGAAGCCGATGATTCGCGCCTGGAGGTCCAGGCGGTTCTCGTAGTCGCCCTCCAGGATCTTGTGCTTGTGGAAGCCCTGCAGCACCACGGGCACCTTGAAGGTCTCCCCCGAGTAGCAGCCCATGTTGGCGTCCATCATCTGAACGAAGTGGCCCTCGGCGAAGCGCAGCGCGCCCAGCTGGTTGCCCGCCTTGCCCTGTGTCAAGTTCCCCACCGAGCCGATCAGCAGCCCCCGGGCGCGCGGCAGCACGTGCACCACCTCAATGGGCCAACTGGAGCTGGATCCGCAGTGCTTGATGAGCACGCTGGCATGCTTGAAACGGACCTGTGTCCAGGGATCACTGGACGTGAGGCCCACGTGCGCATCCACCATCTCCTCCAGCTGGGGGTGGCTCTTGCCGCGCACGAAGTCGATGCAGACAAAGAAGGGGCAGCCCGCGTGCTTGGACATCATGTAGTGCACGTCGCTGTCGCGCTTGGTGATGTCGGCCTTCTCCAGCCGCGCCAGACCGCAGTTCACGGCGCCGTCGGAGAGCACGGCCGTGTGCTCGTCCACCACCTCCTTCACCGTGTAGAAGCGCCCGGACCGGAAGCCCTGCAGGCCCTTGATGTTGGCCTGGCCCCACAGCCGACCTAGCAGCGCCGGGTTCTTGGCCAGGGCCGCCGAGGAGGTGCCATCCTCCGCGGAGCCTCCGCTGTAGCGGCTCTTGGTGGTCGAGTGCTTGGCGACCATGTCGTCCCGGGGCTCCTGCATGGCCTCCTCCATCAGCGCCTGGACCTGGCTGGTGTCGTTCAAAATGGCCTCTATTTGCTGCACGGTCTTCGCGCGCTTCTTGAGCCGCGCCATGGCCTTGCTCTTCCAGACCTTCTCCACGGCGCGCTTGGCCACCGCGTCCTCGGGGTTCAAGCTGTCCACGCTGAGCCGGATGCGGTCGTTGGGCTGCAGGCCGTGCGGCCCGGTGGAGCTGATCACCCCGTGCTGGATCTTCACCTGCTGGGCCTTGCCCAGACTCAGCTTGCCGTAGGTCTGGTGCGCCATGATCAGCTGGGCGTGGCGCCGGATGGCCTCGAAGTCGACGGTTTGGTCCTCCCGCTCCAGCAGAACCTTCAGGGCGCGGTGGTAGTGCACCGCCCCGTTCACCGTGCGGATCACGCTCTGGGACCGGTGGGACGCCCACTCCCTCACCTTGTTCTGCATCTCCTTGGACGCGCCCTTCTTGACCTCCTCGTAGAGCTCCGCCGGGTGGAGATTCTCGTTCTGGGCGAAGATCTCCCACTCCTTGGGCAGCTGCGAGATCAGGAACTCCAGCATCGTGGACACTGCCCCGTTCTTGGGCTCCCCCACCAGCTCCTTGATGTCCATGATGCCCTCCTCACTATACACCGGCACGATCTGAGTCAAGGAAGGGATGCGGCCCCGGTGTGTCACACCCAAGGCGTCGCAGGTGCTGTCGGCTGTGGGCACAAAGGGCCGGAAATTGATGTTGCCATCGCCCAGAATGCACTTCAACGAGGTGAACAAGTACCCAAGCCTGGCTTTGGCTCGCTCCAAAATGCGGGTATCCTTGCCTGTCAGTTTCACTGAGCCTCCCGTCTTGGCAGCACTTAGCATGTTCTTCCGCATGTTGCTGTCAATGAGGCATTCGTCGTACAGGCCATCCACCATCATTTCCCACACCTTCTGCCAGTCTTTGCCAAATACAGCCTTGGACGAGCAGAAGAAAAAAGAAGCAGAAAAAACACGCAAGCAAGACTGAGACTCAAAACCTGCCACTCTTCTTTTTTTCTCTTCCGACTTCTTCTCGTTTCCTTTCGAGGGGCGTGCAGAATGGAGCCGTGGGTCATCCAGTTGGCTTCCGCCTTCCGCATGGACGTGAAGTCGGAGGTCACGGACTCCACCCGGAACTCCAGGGACGGGATGCTCGTCTCCACGAAGCCCCGGGCCGCACCCACGGAGCTGCCCACGACGGCCACGTAGATGTTGAAGATGAAGTACATCCTCAGTCCGCGCATGTTCTCTTCTTTTTTCTTCACACGTCACATATTTCACAGGTCACTTTCAAGCCAAAAACGCCGCGGAAACTGCGGAAAGGCTGACAATGGCTAGCTGTGGACTGAGAATCATCAGCAAACTGCTCAAGGCCACCATGGTCCAACTGGTGACCACCGTGGCCACGCACGCCACACATCGCACGTCCTTCACCAGGAACTTGAGATTCAAGATCTCCACCGTGTAGGTGCTGCAAAAGTCTTCGTCGCTGTCGTTCACCGCACACAGGTGGTACGGGGTCAAGGTTCGCACCAACGCCACAAGCATGGAGTAGTTGCACAAGAAGCTGAAGGCGGCAAAGGTGGCCCAGAACACGGCAATCCTTGGGCCGTCGGGTTAACCCGCGAACGCGTGAAAGAAGGCGTTTAAATCAACGCATGCACCTATGATAGACCTCCGCGCTATTAGTTGGCGCACTCAACGAACTCCGAACCGCCCCGGGGCGCGCCTCTTCCAGTAGGCCATTTGCAGCAGCTGGAAGGCACTGGTCGCCCTGAGCCGTGGAGTGATCCCGTAGGCGAAGCGAAGGAAGATGTAGGCCACAGGCGCGTACCAAATGGTCTCCGCCAAGCCGCTCGGCAGCACGTCGATGGTCGCGCTGTCGATCTGCACGGCCTCAGCGGCGTCCATGACGACTTCGGGCCACGAGATCCAAGCCCAAGCCAGCGCCAGCAGAAAGGTGGGCACGATCCGACACATGCGCAAGGCCTTGATGCAGCAGTTGCGCCCCGTCCGCCCGATGCTGGCGGGGGTGGGGGAATCATTCACAAAGACTTCGCAGATCATCAGGAAGCAAAGCCAGAGAGCGTCGATGAACGCGAAGCTGAAGAACGTGAATCTCGTCAAGGTCGGTTCACGACTGCTGGTGCCGACCCAGTCTTCGAAGCCCTTGCTGTCGTGCAAAAGGACGGCGCCCCAAAGAAGCCACATGGCAATTGTCAGAACCCACTTGTAGTTCACCACAAAGTGAAAGCAAACCCAAAGACCCACAGGTTCCTTCCACGTCTTCTGGACCTCATTTGGGAGCGGTCCCTCACCCGACAAAAGCCCGCAGTCATTGATGTCGTCAAAGTTGATTCCCTGCTTTGGTGCAAACACGTTCGAGTTCCGGCAGAAAGCTTCCAAAGGCTCGCAAATGTCGGCATAGTCGATCTTGCAGGTGAAGGACGGCTTGCCGTGAGCATCTTGCGATGCAACCAGGGTTCTCATGACCTTGCGATGGACGCAGGACAGCCATTCCGGGGAGTGGATCAGGTGCTCCGCGATGGAGCCGGTCATGCGGGAGATCAAGGCCTCGGCGAAGCACTGGTGCACGTCCGCCTCCGCAAATGGCACCTTGGAGCTCTGCCCCAGCATCGCCTCCCAGGAATGATAGCCTTCCAGGACCCGATGCCAGATGTTGTAGCACGCCCGCCTCGGACTCTCGAAAAAGCGAAAACGCCAAAAGGCACAAGAAAGCGGAGGAAGCCGAGGAAGCCGAGGAAAAGGAAGGAGAAAAGGACGGAGAAAGGAATCGAAAAGGACCGGGACGGAACTGAGCACTTGGCTTGCGGATCGACTCGCCGTCCACCAGCTCCGGGTTCTCCCTGCGCTGCTCTTCCGCGGCCACCGCATCCGCTTCGTGCTCAATCTGACGCCTGGTCGGGATCGCGAGCACTCACGTGGGACCAGGGAGGCTCTGGGGGCTCTCGAAGGCTTCGGGGACTCCGGGGACATGTGAGCGCCTCAAGCTTCGTTTGGCTCGGAGCGTGCAAAGCTGGCCTCAAGCGGTCTGCTTGGACCTGCAAGTGCGTGTTCGCAAGCAACTCCATGAAGTTCCTGCATGCGGCTTGTCCCAACTCTGCAACTTGCCGAATGAATGGCATGGATTAATGGACACCATGTGAGTGGCACGAATGACATGAATGCGCAGAAGCTGCACTTTGTGTGCTCTCGCGCCCATGGCGCCTCATGTTGTCGCCCGTGTTCTGCAGCCACGTCTGCATGTCCGAGTCATCTCCGGCTGTGAGGATGTGTTCTTCCACCACGCTGCTGAGAAAGAGGGGGTTGGCCTTGTAGGAGAGCTCGACCACCAGCTGGGCCTGCATGCCCACGAAGTGCACCTGGCTCTCCGCGCGGCCCGTGACCTCTTCGGCGTCCTTGAAGCTGCCGACGCGGTCCAGGAGCTCCAAGAGGTGCCGCCGCGTCACGGTCTTGTTGCCGATCAGCTCCGTGCGCCGCAGCTCCGCGTCCGTGAAGCCGTAGACCGCCATGGAGCGGTCCGACTGCTCCTGCAGCCACCGGATGAAGGCCTCCGTGGTGTCCCAGCTCTGCGCGCACGCGCCGCGGCCGCGGCCGTTGTACTGCAGCCGGTGGTACGAGAAGGTGCCGCCCACCTTGGCCAGGCCCCAGCCGCAGTAGCCCTTCAAATGGCTGTACGCCACTGGCACCTCCACGCCCTCGTCCAAGGCCTCCGCCACTTTGGTGGCCAGCAACTTGCCGAAGGGCATGGCCGAGATGTCTTCCAGGATCTTGCGGGACGCGCTGTTCTGCATCAGCTGCTCCAGGTTGTAGCAGTTCTGGGACGCCGTCTCGTCGCTGGTCTCCACCTTCGTTCTTCTGCAGACCATGAAGCAAAGAGAGCTGACCCCCACCAGGATGAAGAGGCAGCAGGCCACGTAGAACACGATGATGGTGACCCCCCGCTTCATGAGCACAGCAGCACACACGGGAGGGGCGACGTAGCTTGAGGCGTCCACACCTCCAAAGTGAAATCGGCTCGCTGCGTCCACGGTCTCGTAGCGCTTCTGGATGCAGTGGTGCCCAAAAGTGTGGAATTGGCCCACGAGGCCCTGGTACGCCACGGCCAACTGCCCTGCATCGGTGGATGGGCCACAGCTGGAGTGACCAAATTTGGATTTCAGCTCCGACTCGCAGCTTTTGTAGGCCTCATCCGCACTCCACACATCCGACCATTCGTCGATAACAGCACCCTTGATGCAAAAACCGTTACTCCAGGAGTCTTTGAGACCATCCGTAGGAGTGCTGTTGCCCCCATGCCACACTTCATAGAGGGCTCGATGCTGTTTGTCCGGCTGCACTGAGCCTTGGACGTATGCAGGAAAGCCGTACTCGAAAAGCACCGGCTTCATGGCTCCCGAAACATCTTCTACTGCTGCGGTCCCGGTGGTCAGCATTTGCTTGGGCTGGCTGAAAAGCTGCTTGATTCGTCGAATTGATCTGGCCTCCACATCGTCAGCCACCGCTTGCATCTTGAGGATCCAGGAGTCGAAGAGACCTGAAAGCAAGCTCGACACTTTCCCAAACCTTCCGAACTTTGCGTACCTCCGCGGCTCCGCGCCATTGACTGCTCGAAACAAGGTCCAGAATTGACTATCGGTGCTCACGAAACAATCCATGCAAATCGCCATACTTTGCGCGTTGCGGCCACGCTAAGAGCTGTTTCAACTACTATCGTTGCTGCAAACACCCACAAAAGTTGCGTGCGATAGAAAAGCGTGGGCGCGGCCAGTGCGGGTTTGTCTCAAGATTGGGAACCCCCAAAGCGGGTGGTTTCCTTTTGGTTCTCCTTGGTACCCTCAGAAAAAGACGCGCCCGTGTGCTTGGATGGTCATGATGAGAAGGAACGTAAGCCAAAAAACCATGAGAGCAGAGAAACAACAAGCTTCCCCAAAGGCTATTTGGAAACATGAAATTGCATGAAATTGCATGAAATAGCATGAAATTGCATGAAATGTTGCATTGCGAAGGCGCCCAGGCCGTTGAAGCTGCAGAGGTCGGCCATCTGGGCGAAGGTGGTGGGGACCTGCACCTGGCCGGCGGCCAAAGGGTGGCACCCGACGACGCGCTCCAACCAGAAGATCAGCGCCCGGAGGTACGCGTCGTTCTCCGAGACCGACAAAAAGAACTCGGGGCCCAGGTCCAACGTGAGCGCCAGGGGCCGGTCGAACTTGAAGGCGCCCGAAACGTCGTCCCGGGCGTCGCAGCCCTGGTTGGGGTCCTCGCAGTGGAACTGGTTCTGCGTCTCCCGGATGGTCTGCAGAATCTCCTGCAGCGCCGTGACCGTGGCCAGGGTCTCCGCCAAATCCCCGGAGCTGGCCACACAGTTGGCGAAGTTGGCCACGTCGTTCTTGGCCCCCGCCACGCAACTCACCGGCAACAGGCCCTGCACCGGCGGCAGGCCCACCAGGTTCCACATCAGAATGGTCTCCGGCGTGCTCAGCTTCTCGTTCTTCACCACCGCCGAGTACTGCAGGAAGTCGTGGAAGTCCTTGGCCAACGCTTCCCGCGTGGCCGGCTTCTGCCACGCGCCATCCTCCCAGTAGTAGCCGATGTGGAAGGCCGGGATCAGCCGCAAGTTGTTGGCCGCCGCCGTCTCCAGGAACTGCGTGTGGCTCCGGTACTGGAAACTCCAGGGCGCCAGCAGCAGCGCGTTGGCCCCCAGCTCGTTCCGGATGGCTGGCAGGTCCCGCTCGTGCAAGAGCGCGTAATTCTGGCTGTAAGGGTCTCTCTTGCCGTCCGCGAAGACATCCTGGTAGCCCACGGGCTCCGGGAAATACTTCACCGCGTGGATCACGGTGTCGTTGGACTCGAGAACATTGCCCGTGTCCATGTCCACCATCTCCAAATCACCACACCCGCAGGTGGCCGAAGTGCACGTCCATGGTGCCTTGATGCGGACCTGGGTCGGTACCAGGGCCAGGGCTCCTAGGCGGCGTTTTCAGAAAGCACAACCCAAAATGAGCAAAACCGGGCAGAGACCAATGCGCCCGGCTCCTCCGAATATCAACCACAACTCTTTGAGCATTGCGCCTAGTCTCGGTTCTTGTGCCTGACTTGGGTGAAAAGCTCTGCGGAGTTCACGCGATGCTCGGGATGCGAGAACCACGCCAGGCGGCCTGACACAAAGCTCCTTTTCACTCCCAACCCGCTCCGGGCGTGCCGTGAATTCAGGTCGACGAGAAACTCAGAATTTGAGCTTTTGCTTTATACCATCAAAGACCAAGCCCAGGCCGATGGTCAAAACTGGAGATGTTTGCAAACGCTGGAGACTCTCCCCAAAATCTGACGCCCTGCAACACGTCGAGCAAATCTTGGGGCAAAGGCTCCACCACACGGCGATTGCCCCCCGAGTCCGAAAAGGTGAGGCGGTGGCGATGCAGGAAGTTGCGGCTGCACCAAGCCAAGTCCTCTCTGAAGAGGCTCCAAGCGGCGTATTTGCCGTCGCAGACAATGGGGTGCCCCAGGTGCGCGGTGTGGACCCGGATCTGGTGGCGCCGCCCCGTGCCAATGCGCACCGTGGCCAAGGTGAGGCCGCGCGCGCCCCGCGTGCCCCGGGCCCGCGCCCTGAGCCACGACCGGGCCGGGCGCCCCGGGCCCGTCGAAGCCGCGCGGCTGGGGGCGGTCCCGGAGCCCCCGGAGCCCCCGGAGCCCCCGGTTTGCGCGGAGCCCCCGGGCCCAGTCCCGGAGCCGCGCACCCAGAACACCCGCGCCCGGACCTCCCGCTCGAGGCTACCGAAGCCGAGGCCGTGGCAAAGCACCACGTAGTCCCGGCGCAGCGCCCCCAGCGCCAGCTGCAGCCGCAGGTCGTAGTAGCCCCGGTAACTCGTGGCCAACAGCAGCAGCCCCGAGCTGGGCACGTCCAAGCGGTGCAAGAAGCCCCGCTGGTGGCTCCTTTGCCAAGTCAAGTCCAAACTTTGAAAGGCACAGGAAGCTTCCGGAACCAGAAAGGCCAAGGCACACATCTTCCAAGACCAGCTGGCGGTGTCTGGGCAAGGATGATCGCAGGAAGGCTGAGAGTGGCCGGCCCTCAGAGGTCAAATCATCCACCTGCCAGCCAGGTGGCTTGAAGAGCACCAGCTTGTCGGGCAGGTCCATGACCACTCCTCACACTCAGGAAACTCGAGGAAACTCGAGGAAACTCGGGAAGTGGGGCTGAGCGCAGTGCAAACGAGCCTCGAGGAGGGGGACCGTTGAAAACTGCGTGCTCGTGGGCGCCCGGCTCACGGCGCGGCACACACGTGTCGCACATGTCGCACATGTCGTCCAGTTGCTGGCCAATGGCGTCCAGCACATCATGGGCTTCGGATGCCCGGGATGCAGAGGCCAGGCCAGCAAAACTGCAAGCCCACAGCCTCGCGATCGGGCCCGTGCCATTTGAGGCAATGTTCTTGCATGGCGGGGCTGAGGTGCTCTTTCCATAGCCCTGGCATTAGCCTAACCCTGGCACAGCCTGGCATGCACGAAGAGAGACACTCACGGACAAAGGTTTGTGGTGGGTTTGGGGCAGTCCGTTTTGGGTAAGTTATGGCCCGGCATCGCTTTCAACCATCGCCGAAGCCAATTCTAAACCCACCCTAAACCAGCCCTAAACCCCTAGACCAACCCCAAGCCCCACCACCAACCAGCAGAAGCCATCTACCTCAATCAAGCACAGCCAACCCTGAGCCAACCTGGAACCTACAAACCCAGCCTAAACCAAAGCCTGGTGATGAGGATGTTGAGAACGATGCTGAGGATGTTAAAGCCTTAACCTACCCTGAACAGACCCCAAACCTACCCTGAACCTACCCTGAACCCATCCCAAACCTTTGTCCCAGCCAGCCAGCCAGCCAGCCAGCCAGCCCAGCCCAGCCAGCCAGCCAGCCAGCCAGCCAGCCAGCCAACCAACCAACCAACCAACCAACCAACCAACCAACCAACCAACCAACCAACCAACCAACCAACCAACCACCTGCCAGGGTTAGCCCTGTGCCAGGGCTAGGCAAAAAAATCACCCTTTCCCGCATGGCGCTCAGTCACTGAGCTGCCGGCACTTCCACTAAGCAGGAGGCATAGTTGATCAGCACCGACTTTGAGGCAATCAACTCCCGTCCCCGGCGCAACACCTCTCCTTGCCAGCTTTCATGATACTCGCACATGACAAATGATCTGAAATGCTCTCAAGTGATCTCGAGTGATCTCAAGTGCTGAAGTGAAGTGAGTGCTCAGGTGCTCGAGCGCTCCTTGAATCAAAAGGTACAGCTTCGGCTCACCGATGTTCAGGGTGGCGAGGCCCCAAGCCTAGGCACCGAGCACTGAGCACCGAGCACCGAGACAAGCAACGACCGGACGACCGGAGGGACGACTCACCGACTCACCGGCACTTGCCATGGGGCGAGGTTGGCCAAACTCCGCCCCGAGAGGGTCCAAGCCTCCCCAAAGCGCTGCTCCACCGCCTGGGCCAAGGCCTCGACTCACTTCGGCTCTTCGGCACTTCGGTACCGCTTCGGAACCACTTGCATTCCTTGAGTTCAGCCTTTGCACCTTCTTTTCTAACTGCCTACCTGCCTAACTGCCTAACGGCAAACGGCCAAACCCAAGCTCGGCCTCACAGGCGTCAAAGGCGGAGGCGGCCGACCAGACCATGGTGCATAAGGCCGTGAGCGTGGCATCCGTCGGCACCGTGTTCAGAGTTGCTCCGGGGAGTCCGAGTTGGCTCAGCTTGCCGAGGCGCCAACTCATTTCCGTCCGCTCCTCCGTGGACAGGGAGCTGGCTGCACAAGTCGCAGTCTCGTAGAGCTGGCTTACAGCCTCACCTACCGCCGTGGAAGTCTCCATCAGCAGGCACAAAACAGCCTTCCACTGGAAATTCTTCTCGCACGCTGTGATGGCAGCATTGTACGAGAGAACATCTGCTTTCAGGCGGAGCTGTGTCATCCTGCGACGCAAATTGCCCTGAAACCAACAAGCCCCAACAACTTGAAACCAGCTAGTCTCCCTTTCAGTCCTTTCCAGCTGTGCCACTGCCATGCCCCAATGCTCCGACTGGCGCAGCGCCTGCGTGGCTACGTCGAAGGCAATGGAGCTGGGCGGAAAGCCGGCCATCGCCGCCAGGCACGATATGGCCAAAGTCCAACGGTGACGGTGGCAGCTGATGATGGCGTTGCAGCTGATGACGTCCGGCTCCAACCAACGCCTTCGGCTCTGCGCCAGCAGCTCTGCCGCCTGCGCCCACCGGGCAAACGGATCCAAGGCGCTGATGGCGGCGTTGCAGGCGACGACCTCCGGCTCCAGCGCTGCCGAGCGCATGGCCGACACGAGGCCCAGCGCCGTGTGCCAGCGGCCTCCCGTCCTTGCGGCGCTGATCAGTGTGTTGAATATCACCCCGTCCAGCCGAACTCGGCGCTCCTCCGCCGCGGCCAGCAGCCCCAGCGCCGCGGCCCACTGCCCCCCCCGCTCGCACGCGCTCATGGCCGCGCCGAAGCACACCGCGCCGACTCCGTCCGCGTCCGAGGCGTCTCCCATCGTGGCCAAGACGTGCAGCGCCCACTCCCAGCGGCTGGCCTTGGCACAGGCGCTGATGGCGGGCACGGCGCTGGCGAGACGCGCCGCGCGCATCTCGTGAAGCACCGCGTGTCTCCAGGCCCCGGCTTTGGCACAAGCCATGGCGGCGTGGGACGGCGCAAGCCTCGACTTCAGAAGCTGCAGACTCGCCGTCCAGGAGCTCATGGCGGTGCTGGTGCTCGCGGCATCTGCATCCAGTCGGCAGTGGCACAGCTCGGAGAACAGGCTCAGCGGGAACTGCCACCTCTCCTGGCTGAAGCTGGTCATCAACGCGGAAAAGCTCACCGGGGTTGCAGACAGCTGTGGGCTTGCAAAGAGCTGCATTGAGTGTCGCCATTCTTTGGCCTCTGCACACGAAGTAATGGCGGCGTTCTGGCAAATATCATTGACAGGTATCCGCGAGCGTCTCATTGTCAGGAGAGCGCTGCAAGAATTCTGCCACTTGGAGTGCGATGCAATGCAGGCGCTCCAAACAACTTTGTTCGCTTTGACCCGCAGTGCCTGCATCCTGAAGGAGAAGGCACGACATTCCATGGACACCCTACAGGAAACACATGCACTCGGGGCCTTCGAATGATCTGCACCGCCCCGCGCCATTCGTTGACCGAAGCGATGGCAGAGCTGCAGGTGAAAGCATTGGGCTGCACAGCTTCTCCTTTCAGACACTAAAAGCATCAAAGATACCAAAGACACAAAAGGACAGAACCCCCGAGACACCAACAAAACGTCTCTGCCTTGCATGCGTTCCAGCAGAGACGACGACAGGTGCCAGCCGCCCATTGCGGAGCCTCTGGACACACGAGCGTGGGATTTGAGTTTGAGCTTCTGCAGTTTGGGAGCTGTAGGTCACGACATCCGCTTGCGCCAAAAGTCGAAGGCATCGGGGCCACTCTCCTAGTGGAAACGTCCCCATGGACACATGGTTTCATGATAAATTGCTATATCGTGATATATCATGATATTTCATGCAACTGCGGCTTTCCGTCCTGCTTTTGTGCATGCGCTCACGGCTGAATTCCGGGCAACGGCATCTCCCTCTCAGGGCGGCAAGTCCGAGCACACGAGGACCCGACACGAGGCGTTCCACGCACCTCGCGGCTCAGGCTGAGCGCCATTTGCCACGCCGAAGCCTGCGACCCGAGCAACACCCCGCATCCCTCAAGCACATCGCGTCGCCTTCTCGCATGCCATGACTGCAGCGCCCAGGTGGAAGTGGTTGACCTCCAGTGCCCGGCTGCTCATGCACCGCAGGATCTTGAAGGCCGCCTGGAGCACAGGAGCGAAAGACACGTCACACGCGCCCTGCGCCCCGCGCCCCGCGCCGCGCGCCGCGCACGGGCCTGGGGCATGGCGGCATAGCCAGCGGAACGGATCGCTGCCTCTCCAAAGACCGACGCAGCGGCGACGCGGGGCAAGCGGGGCAAGCGGGGCAAGTGCCGGGGTGCAGTGGCCAGCTGCGGGCGCTCTCGCCATCTTTGGAGGCTGGGCTCCAAAAGGCGCAGTGCCTTGCATCGCATCGCTTCAAATCGATTGTCCCAACCTGGCTCTTCAAACTGACACGTTGCGCCCACCTCCTGCTGCGACGCCGACTCCAAGCCAGCCAGGCCAAAATCGGCCATAGCGTATTGGCAATGCAACGCAATTTGATGCACTCAATACTGTATGCCCCAAAACTCAAGTAAATGCTTTACCAGCTCACCTCGCAGTCAAGCCCAGCTACAGCCGAGACATTCAACTCTCAGCTGTCGTGCTCGTAGCTGCTGACTCGAAAGCGAATCCGTCTCCTTTCGCCTCTGCTCGATGTGAGTGAAACGAGTGCACGCGGGTCTTATGCACAGCTCTTTGAGTCAGTGCGCCCAGCCCATGCGCTCGGATGTACTGAACTCGAGTCATAGCGCTATCTGCGGCCAAACCTGGAGAAGGGTGCCCACAAGAGACGCAGAACCATTTGCATGGGACTCAAGCAAAGCTTCTCAAACGAAAGCCAAGAAAACGTAGCCCTTGGCTGGGGCACTTCTTCTGACGCAGCCGCTGACCGAAGGGGAGGCGGCGCCGCTCTCCAAAGACGTCCGTGGGCTTCCGAACCCGCTTGCCATGCTTGAGCCTAAGGCGAGAAAAAGAGAAAGAAAAGAAAAAAGCACTGCACATCGAAGATCGAAGCCAAGCTCAGCACTTCCAAAGCTTGTGCCGGGATAGGGCCGGAAGAGCCTGAAATTCCAAAAGGCTGTCGGATCCCATTTTCAGAGCGGGAAGAGCGGGAAGAGCGGCCTCGACGTTGGCCGTGCTTGGGTCAATCTTCCTCTCCCTAGCCTCGGCCAGACTCACGCAGAGAGAGATTCGACTGTGAGCCAGCACGGCTCAGGGCTTTGCCAACATGTTCTCCCGCGTGAAGCGGTCTCCTTTTGCAGCGTTGTTTTGTGCGTCATGGCATCAGGCACTTGGGCGCAGGCTGCGCTTGGCTGAGCCGGCTTCGTCGAAGCTATGCAAGGGATCCTGAAGTTGAAAACGAGAGGTCAAGGCCCAAGGCCGCCCCGGCCTAGCACCCTATGGCGCCCTAGCGCGGCGCCCTGTCCCGGTCCTGCTGCCTGGCCTTGATGAGCCGCTGCCTCACTTCAAAGCCATGGACCCGCGGCTCAGCCGAGTCCGAGTCCGCCGCCGCTTGGAGGCGGAAGAGATCTGTCCGCTCGCCCGGTTCGCATCCCGAACCGCCTTCTGAACCTCGAGCTCAAGTCGAGGGCCCGAGCCATGTCTTATCGAGTCTCGTCTCTGAGCGTTCTGCCGGCGTGGAGGCTGTGAAGGTCTCTGGCACCAGGTATGATGGCACCTGGATGAAAAACGGCACGCGGACGTTCGGGTGAAGCGACTGCCTCTCTTGAATTTGGAACTGGCTGAATGCCTGGGATATGCTGGGATACTGGCGCTCTTCAGGTGAGCCCTGATGGACTTGTTTTCACGCAGCTGCCTTTGCATCCTGAGTGCCGCGAAGTGCCGCGACAGCGCCGCGACAGCGCCGCGAAGTGCCGCGACGCCGTGAGATCCAAAACGGTCCTCTGCAGGGCGCGCTTCTCCTCCGGGTGATCCTCGAAGTAGGACTTCAGCTTCTCGGAGTGGAGCGCCTGCGATCGAACTGCGCGAAGCCCAAAGCCGAAGCCCAAAGCGCGCCTCCAACTGCAGTTCCCGCGCCCGGAACTTGGCCACATTCTTCTTGGTCAGGCCTTTCGCCTCGCACAAGCAAATTGGCATCCAAATGGCATCCAAATTGGCATCCAAGCTATGGAAAGTCTTTCACTGGGGTCCTCGCCATATCCTCCACCCGATAGCCTCAGCACATCATCTTTCCCAAAGCCAGGCAGCCTCCGGCAGCCCGGCGGAAGCGCTCGGCATCGGAGAGCTGCATGGGCAACGGCTGCAAGGGCCCGGTGCCGCCTCGCGTCGTTCGTCGTTCGTCTTGCGCGTCGCTCCCAGCTCCCAGCTCCCAGCTCCCAGCTCACGGAAAGCGCCTGCCGCTTGCGCCCGAATGATCTTCTGCAGCATCGGCCTCGGAGCCGAAAATTTCGAACGTCACACACTCCACGCGCGCTTCTCAGAGACTCTTGAGGTTAGCACTCTTCCTCATGGGTGCAAATGGTCAGCCTGAGCTCCCCAAACAAAGAATAGGCAACGATCAACTGCGGCTGGCTGACGCTGTCCCACTGGCTCCTCCTCGGGCGCAGCGGCCAACTCGGTGAACCTGAGCATAAGCAAGATCGGTTGCGGTTACATGTCCGGAGCCGGGCACACTCAGGCACCAACATAGTCTCGCACGGTCGTCGGCACATCGGCATTGAGCACGGTGCTAACCTTCCGGCGAGAAACCCAGCGTCTCAGCATTTGTGCCACTGGCAAACTGAGGCCCCGACACCGTGCAAGTCCACCCCTCGGGTGATGGAGTACTGATCATCCTCGGCGCCCACCGAGCTCCCCAACCCCAGTCGCCTTTGCGCCATCTCCGGCCTTCGATTTGCGCCATCTTGCCTCGCGCTCGGCCAAGCGTCGACTGAGTGGCAATCGGGATACCCTCGCATGAGTTGCGCGCTGGCTTGGGGAGCTCTTCTTGGACCTCATCCGCTTCTGCCTGGCCATAATTTCAGGAGCTGTTGGCGCGCACCCGAGCCAAAGATGTCCAGAAAGCAAGATTCCAACATGCTCGCCAGTCGCTTCCCTTGCCAAAGCAAGTTGCCATATGTAGATAACAGCATAGACACTCTAAGTTCAAGGGATCTTCAATAGAACGCAGGCAAATCTTGGAAGCGAAGCGCAACAGGCAGACTTGCATCTTGCTGGCAAGCGGAAACAAACATTCAGGATCTCACCTCTTCCTCCTCAGCTTCTTCCATCTCAGCATCTGCCTCCGCATCTGCGTCCTTTTGGCCACTGCCTTTTCTCAACGCAGACCTGCGATTTCAATTTGTGACACGCGGCCGCCCGGGGGCCGGCACTGCCGGCACTCCTTCACTCCTTCTCCCGCCTCCGCTGTGACGGATCGGACTTCGCCTTCGCTTCCTTCACCTGGCGGTCTGGCGTTTTTGTGCGGTGCGCTGGGTCGAGCGCATGGCTTTGACCCCGTCCTCGGCGTCCATTTCAGGCTCTTCTTCCTCACCTTCCTCGCCTTCCTCTTCATCCTCTTCATCCTCTTCCTCCCAGTCAACCTGATTGCAATCACAATCCGGTTCTTTTGTGTCCATATGTGTACATGCGGCATCTTTTTGCTGCGTGCTCTTTTTACTGGGGGTCCGGATTTGTTTTTAGTTTTTCCTGTTTTTGTTCAGGATTTGTTCCGGGATTCTCTATCTTGGAACTGGCAGGTGCGATCTCCCTCGGTTTATCGTGGGCTTAAGGTTGGCTCAAGGCTGGCTTAGGGGCAGTTTAGAGCAAGGTTTGGGGGTGTCTGCCCTGATGGTTTGCTTGGGTTTACAGCGGGCTTGCTGGGGTGGTTTCGGGTGTGGGTGGTTTTGGCAGCTTGGGGATGTTTTTGCGTTGGCTTGGTTGTTGCTGTGTTTTTTTGGGGAGGGGAAGGTTCTTGTTTTCCAGACCATTGACCTTGTGGCAATCACGTTTCACACGCAACAATTGTGCGGGGGGCGGGGGGGGGGGGGGGCTTCCAGCGCAAGTGATCCATCAGACATCTGGTTCTTACGTGAAATGGCCACAGAGACTGCCACCACACACCAAACCTATCAGCACTGAAGACTTGTCGGTGACTGCCAAGCAGCCGCCATCGTGTGAAGGAAATTGCCAGCTGGCTTGGGTGTGAGGAACTGGGTGATGAATGGATCTCATTCACAACCGAAGCAGAGCGTTGGGGGCCACTCCGCCACAAGACAAGCACACTGAGCCCAAGTGACAGCCGTGCAAAAACAACCAATTTGCCCACCACTGGTGCGTGCACACCCTCTCCGTGCCTCGTCTGCATCGGCTGCATTTGCATCCTTTGAAGCTCAAATCTGGAATGCCGCAAATCGCGAACTCCTGTCGCACCTTGTCAGCACCAAGCCCTTCGTCTGTGGCCTAACACCGATGGGCTTGATCGAGAAACTCCTGGAGTTTAACCTGACATGCCGAGCCCCGGGCTATGAGCAACTCCACCAAGCCTTCATTGAAGGTGTCAATGATGTTCTGGCCTCAGGCTCTCACTGGCACAAGTTGATAGAGAGTAACACCCTAAAATAAGCATCCAGCGACTGCTGTGAGGAAGCTCAGAGTTGAGGACAGCTGAGTTGATACTAAAGCGCTCCAGCCTTAGAGAAAGCGTCGTCACAGCTTCACAGCATGGGACTCTGGGCAGCGAGCAGAATCCTCAACCGGTAGGCAGCTTCGATGCTCTTCACGAAAATTAGCCTCGTGATTACATCTCTTGATCTCCGGTGACAGAGACTGGGCCCAGGCGTCTTGCCCTGTATCAGTTGAAGCTTCCTGCGAGCCAAAGCCAATAAAGCGGTCCTATGGCACGGACAGCCAAACAAGCTAGTTCTGCAGGAGAGTGTAGATGATGAGGTACTTGTCGGTCTTATGGCAAACATAATGGAACCTGCCATGCAGGTCGACATGCGTCCGAACTTCCGTCGGCCCAACGGCCCAACGGCCCAACGGTGCAACGGTGCCGGGGCCGGCTGGGAGAGCTTGCCGGTGACTCGGGGCTCCTCCAGCTTCAGCACCACGGGCTTGTGCAGCATCAGCCCCTAAAGAAAAACAAAACAAAAACAATTCTGATGCAAAAAAAACCACTGAAGTAACTCAAAAACAACTCTGAAGTAACTGAAGCCTTGACTTTGTGCCCGTTGGCTTGTACCCCTTGTATCTCGCGCTCTGCATCGTTGCCTTGAGCTGCTGAACTTCATCGGAGAGTGTGGCGGAGACCAGCATTGCCTCAAGATGGGAACAGGATCAAAGATGGGAATTGCAGAGTCAAAAGCGGCGCCTGGTATTTTGGCGGCATCAGCGCGCAAAGAGACTTGACCTTAGAAACAGCTATTGTTCAAACAATGAAGACTGACAACGAGACTTGGAAAGAGGCATCCTCCTCGTAGCCAAAGGAAAACATCAGGTCTGCTTCGTCCAGGATCATGATTTTCAAGGTACTGCCATCCGCGCATTTGTACGCAACTCAAAAGCACCGTCGTAAAGCTCGCAGGGTGTGCTCCGCCAGGGGTCGCATGGTGGCTTTGGCCTGACGCTGCTTCGCCAGAGCCAGAAGCGATGACGGGGTCGTCACCAACCTGGCCCGGTTTAAATCTACTTAAGCATCGAAGCCAACTCAAAGTCGCCCTTTCGCCCTTTTCGGACTTCCTTAACGGCGCCAGCAGCTCATAGTGGGCAGCTCCGCCTTCGTGTACTTCGCCTCAAGCTCGGAACTCGACTCGAAGCGGGGCAATTTGCGGACTTAGGCTCAGGCACCGGACAGCAGGACATCCACTGAGAGCACATCGAAGCAGAACGTGAGCCTGCCAAGTGCAAAATAGGCGTCAAGTGGGTTTTCAAATTAAATGACACACACACACACAGACATATATATATATATATATTATACATATACATACATCAGATCAGCCAGGCGGGCAGAGTAGTCACGACGCCGTGCACTTGCGCAATCAGCTCCTCGCAACTTGAATGTGTCAGCTCTCCCTGTCCCGTTTTGGAGTCGTACCAATCAAGGCAAACCAAAGACGGAATGCCGAAAAAAGGAAGCCCGCCCAGTTGACATGGCGAGCTCGCGCGGTCTCGCGGTCTCGCGGTCCTTGGTAGGGACCAAGATGAGGCCGCTGAGCGGCGCAAGGCCTGCGGAGGCCGAGCGAGCGCCGGAAGCGCTGAACGCGCTGCAAGCGCCTTGGGCCTCCAGCTGAAGCAGGCGCTGAACCTGCCCAAAAAACACGGAAATAGGTCTAAGAACAAAAGGAATGCATCATACAAGAAATGTCTACAAAGACACATGACACGAATAAAGGCGCTAGAACGGCACCCGTGTTCAGAGTTGACAACTTGGGACAACTTGGGACAACTTGGAGGCAGACCAAAGGCACCGCGTAGCACAAGGTCTTCCCACTCCCGGTTCGTGCCCGGCAAAGCAGATCCTGACTTCGCGCGCGCACACGACGCCCCGCGAATGTTGAAAGGGACTCTCCTTGCCCTCCAGCGCCACCGGAATGCCACGCGACTGAACCAGCCTGTCCCACGTCACTTTCTCTCTCTCTCTCTCTATTTCTCTCTTGCGTTTTCTCTCGCCCTCGTTCTCTTTCTCTCTCTTGCTTCTCAAGGCTGCGGCGTCGGATGCTTCAATTGCAGAGTGTCCGTCAGAGCCTGGATCCCGGACTAGACTGAATCGCACTCAGTTCACATTGGAGCCTTTGCGAGGCGCCGGTCCAAATGCTGCTTACCTGGTTGCGGGCATGTTGCTTTCTCACTCTCAGGGTCGAGGTTCAGGCCAAACTCCGCCCATGTCGTTGTTTCATCCAGCAGTGATCCCATGGTACATCTACAGTGCGAGTAATCAAGATGCCTTGACTCAGCTTAAAGTGAGCAAATGAATCTGCAAAGAATATGCCTATTCCTGCTGCTTCTTTTGTGTTGATCTCTCGTAGACTTGAGCAGGTGTCAGACAATGGACTTGATCCGGTTGGGGCTGCCATGCTTGAGGGTAAATCTCACCCAAGACTCCGAGACTTGGACTGCACATTTCGCACAATGTCAAAGGCAATCGGCGATCCCGTGTCGCTAACATAACAGCTGAGTGTGTTTCCGCCAGGTGAGAGCACTAGTTTCAAGCCTCACTGTACAACACCAGCGGCTTTCCAAAAGGACATGAGAAAATTAACTCCTATCAAGCAAGCCAGCTTCGGATGCATGAAACCTTGAGACATCTTGAGACTCAGTCGGACATCTCTATGAGCCAAGATGGCAAAAAGCCTCCATCAAGACCCATCAAGCAGCTTGTCGGGGTCATGGCCTTGGGCCGTTCCACTTTAACTACGTCCAGTTTCAGTAACCCTTTGGGTTCACTGGAACTTCGTCGCATGGATGCTCGCTACCGTTCTGAGAAACAGAAATATCACACTCTCCAACCAAAAACTTTCTCATGTATGGCCAGATCCAGCGCGAACCCTTGAAATCTACCCATGCCAAAGTGAAAACCTCCAAATTCATCAGATGCCGCAAGATGGCTAGTCTCATCCGGTCACTGACATGTAAGCTGCCGTCGTGTGGCATTCTGTCCTCAAATGCGATTCTGAAGCAAGCTTCAAGTCGATCCCTGGGAAAGAGCGCCCCGCAAAAACAAATCTTGCCTGCCAAAGTGCGGGGCTGCGGCTGCTATAGATGTTGCCTGGGCCTTGATCGGCCCACCAAATGCCTCGAATGCATGCCCGACCATGCCCGACCATGCCCGACCATGCCCGACTCCCCGAGAAAGTTCCCCAAGGTCCGTCTCAGCTTCAAGCCTGTGAGCTCCGCTTCTCGTTGAGCAATTTGTCGGTCCGAGCGGAGAGTTGCTGTCGCCTGGACGGCTCTTGAACTTCTACTTCAGGTGTGCCAGCCTTGGATCACTGCAAAGATTCGTTTCTCTCTCTCTCTGATTCCACTCTCCAAGTCTGTTCGGGCACGTGCTGGCCCATAAGTCATTTCATGCAATTGCTATCAGGAGGCTGGCGAGCCACGGCAACACCATTTGGCAAGTGCATCAAGCACCGTCATGGCGGGAATAGATGACTCAGCTGCAAGGATTGTTTGTTGCGTCTCCCTTCCAAGCATGCCATGACTCACGTGTTCAAAAAGTGTTGTGCTGAGCGAATTGAACCATGCACTGAAGCAACCAGAAGCTGTATCAGACCGGAATGCCCATGCGTCCAGCATCTCTCGGAGCCAACGCCAACAGACCAGTCACACTTGCAAGAATCACTGGCCAAAGACTGCCAATGCCGAGCGCGAGCGCATGATCTCAGCTTCTCGTCGGTCAAGCGTCATGCGCCAAGCAAACAAGTTTGATGGCACACGCGGACAACGATAAGCGAAGCAACAGGACAAACGGGCTCAGCTACACACTCAAGCGCCGTGACCGTGACCATGTCCAGCACACAAGGCAAACAAGTAAAACAGGCTGAGCGCATTGGCGTGCGTGGTTGCCAGTTCCTTGAATCACGTGTGTCACCGATATCCCTCATGTCAGAACGTACCAACCAGGCCGCATATACCATGCACAACTTCGAACCGAGGTCAGAAGTTCCCAAGGTCCGCGAGCTGAGCGCGCTGGATGGCAAGTCTCATTGGACACGCCGTAGAGCTCGAGGTTTCGTTGAAAAATGATCGCCTCTTGGTAAATGCCATCCAAGGTGTCGCTGAAGCCCTGAAGCGTGGTGTTGTACCCGTCCAGGTTCCGTCTGGTGTTTTCAAAATCGGAGAAGAGGCAGTCTCCTCCCAGCTTGTGGAAGAGGCAAATGGATAAGTCCCACTCCTCCACCAGCCCCACGAACACAAAGCCCTCGCGCAAGCGTCGCGCTGCTTCATGGGCGTCTGCCTCCTCGACATCCGCGCACTCCTTCAACGGCAGCGGTTCGACTTCATCCAGAGGCTTGTCCCAAGTCAGCTGGCAGACAGTCAGGCCTGTGTCAATGTGCGCATACTCCAACGCTGAATCGGAAGGGTGGTAGTGCTGGAAACTCGGGTCGAAGTAGGCCGACAGCACTCGCTGCTCCGGTTGACGCAGCATGGTCAGGAGCTGCCAATGCTCTCGTGGTTCGCGGGGTTGCGGGAGAACTTGCTGGCGTGGCACAGCTGACCACAGTTCAGCAAGAAGTTCGTCTCAAAGAGCGGGCCAAGCACTTTCTTGTCGACACGAAAGTGGTCGTCGTCGCAAAGGCCGGGCAAGTGGACTGCACTCAATAAGGACGTGCCGCACTTGGGCACATGCAGGTACTTCAGCGGCCAAACTTGAAGCCTTTTCGGGCGGTTCGGGCGGTTCGGGCGGTTCGGGGCCGGGGCCAGGTCAAGGCGATGCAACAGCAGGTCCTCGCCGCAGAGCTCGCCGCATGCGGAGAACCCGGCGCCGGCGAGCTCTGCGAGGAAGCAGGGCTAGACGGTCCATCGCATCAAGTCTCCGGGATATGAACCGGGCGTGGGTCGTCACCCCAGCGGGTGGTTTGCAGTACGCTATCTCCAGTCAAGGGAGAGATGCCAGGGGCTAAGTTCCGAAGAGTTCGAAGCGAGAAAGCCCGGATACTAGAAATATGTACATATAATGTGCACATCAGTGACGACGTCGATTTAGATGTCACACCAGGCATGCTCCAGCAAAGCTGGACGACGGAAGTTTCTGACCAAGTGTGTGCCTATAGGAGATGAATTGGTTTCGTGCAGCATCTCTTCTCTTGTTTCTCTTCTCTGAGCGTCCTGTCTTTGCGTCTCTTTGTCTTCTTCTTCTCTTTTCTTTCTCGTTCTCGTCCTCTCGTTTTCCTCTGTCTCTCTCGCTCTCTCTCTCTACTTCTCAGTATCTCTCTCCTTCTCTTCTCTTCTCTTCTCTGTCTCTTCCCTTCTCTTTCTCTTTGTCCGCTGTCTCTTTCTCTGCTCCTTTCTTTCGCTTTCTCTTACTCTTTCTCTTTTTCTTGCTCCGAGTATAAAATTGCCTAGACACCCGACACCCAGTGCCTTTCCTTTAAAATTCAACGAAAAAAAGTGACCTTTTTGACCTTGAAACTTCACGGGCGTCGGAGCGGGGTTTTCCTTTGCTTTCCTGGAATCATTTGGCTTCCCCGGCGCCGATGTTGGAACGTCGAATTGCCGCCCGGAGCCGGAAATCAAAAACGTTGTTTCTTTTGGGTTTTAGGGCAATTCAAAAACAACACAGGTCGGTGGATGGACAAGATCCATTTCGCACCACGAAATGAAGGCAGGGTTGAAACCACAACGCTTAGCTTGTTACGGTATTTGCGTTGGGGAATCGAATCAGAAACCAGGGTTTCTGAACAGCGCAAAATGGATTTCGTCCATCCGCAGTTCCTTTCCTTTCGACGTCTACCCTCTCTCCCACATAGCCATGGCACCTAGGGAATCGGCTCCCAGAGGAAGCTGATCCCCTGAAAGGAAGGGCATATACGGCATATGGCCTTTTCGGCTTTTATCGCCACGAAGCCAAGAGATGCAGCGCTTAGTTGGTGCTTTCCACTCCGTGTTGCCGTCGGACCACTCGTGCTGTATTGCGTTTTTGCATGTGACACCCTTTCCTTTGGAAAATGTGCGCTTGGGCCAAAAGCCGCTTGTTCAGCTTTTGGGGAACGCTAAGCTGAAGGCAAAGAACAAGCTGAACCTCTATCTTAAGCGGCGGTGGCCCAGTCAAATGAAGAGTGTGCCTGAAACAGCAGAGGTTTTGACACGTGAGATGGGAATGGCGCGTCCAACCACTCCGATAGCGGCCGATACTGCCAAGCCCGCTGCGTTTACTTACCGCTGGAGAAGGTATAGCAACAGTCATCAATGACACTGGACAAACTGACCAAATCACCAAATAACCATTGAGAAAAGGCGGTTGCTCGCCAATTTCCGATGTCAAGTGGGGGGCTGGCACACTGAATGTTGACTGTTGATCACAAGGAAGAGCAGTGCTTTCGTACCTCGTCCACACCGGGTTCGGCTGGTCCTTTACTGCTGTGGCCATGCGGATCCAACTGCCCAAAACTTGGCGATACCCGGCAACTCCATGTCTCTACCTGGGGAACCTAAACACAGCAATAAAAAGAAAAGGCTGGGTGTGGAAAACAAAACAAACGGAAGAGCCTAGGGGAAACCACAAGGAAAACCTGGAGTCAAAGCCCACTCGGTTTCTAGCAGCCTTGACTTAACCAGAAAGCAGTCTAGGAATTGCAACCTCTATGAAGGTTTCTCTCCTCCCGTACCTTTAGTTTGCGACTGTCCATGATCAAGCTCTCATTTTAAGTTGGTTGGGATTCAGATGGATCTCAAACCAAAAGATCGGTGCCCAGAAAGGGTTTGGCCATGGATGTCCCGTGTCTTTCTGACTTTCTTCCTTTCTCCTTTCTTCTCTGGACTGTTTATTCCAACAGAGGTAGCCTTCGCGATCTCGCCAAACGCAATATGCTGCGCCTGCCGAACGGCTCTGCTATTTCAACTTTTCATATTACGGAAGTGTTTAGCTAAACTTCCTTTGTTGTTATATCAGTCTAGTCTATGAATTCACCATCGTAGTTGCAGCCAATCTGAAACTATAGTCCGTGTATATTATAGGTGCTATTTTACAACTCGACTATTGGAATTTCAAGCATAGTTTCCTAATTCCATCACAGCATATTAAAAGACACAAGAATGCAGATTATGCGCCAGCATAATATACGGTTCAATTCATGAATCAGGTTGCAGTTCATTCCTCCAGTTGCTCGCAAAGCACAGGAAAATACCGCAAAAATACATGACCATTTAAAAAATATTGCACTTCGTCCACAATTCCTTTGATTCATCCTCATGATTTTCTCAATTGCGTGCATAATCAGTGCATTGCACTCCAAGCCCTCTTGGTTGATCCGTTCTGCTCAAAATGTTTCATGAAACTCTCTCGCTATGCTGGGCAAGGTCTTCGGCAAACAACAAACAATGCGCTCGACTGATAGTGTGCACTGCCCATTGCCATTGCCCGTTTGACTGACAAGTGAGACGGAAATTGAGATCACAAAAGGCTCCCCAGGGCACGCGCAGAGCAAACTTTGGATTGCTGCACTGCAAATGCGCTGGGGACCTCAGATCAGCTTGGGCTTCCGATCAGCCCGCTCTTTCACCCTCATTCTCTGGCGCCTCCCAAACCAGACGCGCACATGGCAGAAGAAATCTGTCACGCCTCCGATCCGGCTTCTCTTTCCTCGATGTAGGTGAGTGTAGACTCCGGCAGCCAGGCGGTCAGCGACACGGTAGGAAACCGGACCTGCAAAGTGGCATCCTCCTGGCGAGAGACAGCGAGACGGGGTTTGACGGCGAGACGGCGAGACGGCGAGACTTGCGCACCTTGTCTTGCTGGATCACCAAACCTTCTTCACCACTGAGCTTTGCCAGTCTTTCATCCCACTTCAAAGCGCTATGCGCCTGAGCGAGAAAATAACAAGAAAAAACAACTCAGAAAGACAACGAAGTCACGAAGTCACGAAGTCACGAAGTCACCATGCACCGCGCCTCGACGGCCTCTTTGAGCTGCTCCTTCTCACATGCCTTTACTCGCTTGCAGGGCTGCGATAGATCTTGCAGCATGCCTCGGCACGGCGCATCCGAACGAGTCGGCGCATCGGCAGATGGAAAACCGAGGCACGAAGCTGTCCGGGGAACGAGTCGAGTCGGCGAGTCGAGGCGAGTCTTTGAGGCCGTCCGGCCGCCCGGGGCTTTTCATTGCCCCGGGCCGGGAGAGCCGAATTCGAGCAGAGCTGCTGGTGGGCAGCCATGCCTTGAAGCCCAGAGGTGGTGGAAATCTCACCTGGCACGTCGGCAACCCATTGTGTCCCGTGTGTCCATGTTCCGTGTCCCGTCCGTCGCGCAGTCGCGCCTGTGCTGTTCCATCAGACTCATCATCTTTGAGCACAATCCCCTCGCAGCCACAGGCATCTGCCAGGCGGTCATCCCACTTCAACGCCTCGGTGCGCGATGCTCGCAACTCTCACGTGCTGAGCACCGGCTGAGCACCGGAGCACCGGTGCACCGGTGCACCGGTGAGGCACGTGCCGAGTGCGCTTCGACTGCTGGCTTCAATTCCTCCAGCTTGGCAACTCTCACTGACCTCATCGGCCTGAGTCGCTTCAATTCCCCCGCTTGGGCTTACACAGCTAGGTCTGAGCCCTGGACTCCTCGCGGTCTTGTATCAGGAGCCTGTCCAAACCTGCGCAAAATGCTCCTTTAAAGTGTATGCCTCAGAAGTGCACTGTCCCACTCTGAAAAAACCGTCCTTTCTATTATTCTATCGGCTTGGAGCCTTTACAACTCTATGCATTCGCTCCACCCAATTGTGCCCCACGGATTCAAGATCTGAAACAGGCGCCTAAGCCAGATGACTCTGCAATATCTCGCAAACGCCTGAGTTGCCAGTTCTTCTGGTGACTCGCAGCTTCACCGTGCACATGACAGTACCACTTGCTCCCGTACCGGAAAACCGACTCTGGTTAAGCAAAGGCACGGATTGCTTTGCAGCATCTCCCATAGCTGGTCACGTGTCATGCCACCACCTGAATCAAACTCGGGCAACTTCGCTTCGCACCTTCGACATGAGATCTGCACCCTCGGGCTCAGCTCCGTCTCCCAAGCCCGCATTCTCTGTGCTATTCCTGCGCAGACGAGAGACCGCGCAGACGCAGACGCGCAAGACCGCGCGCACCCGTCACTTCTTCTCCGTTTCTCCGTGCGTCCAAGGCATCACGTGCTGTACGCGTCCTGCTGCTCTCCAGCCAGTTGTTGAACCAGTCAACGCGCTCGGTGGAGCCTGAAACGGGGGAACCAGGAAACGGGGAAGTTACCAGACACGAAATATGCCTAATATGCCACTCCTTCTTGCAGTTCTTCTGGAGGGCCACTGCCGTATTGCCCAATCTCAAGCTTCAGCTCCTTTGCAGCCTGAGACTCTCTCAATTCCGATCCCGCCCGCTTTCACCCTATCTTCCATCCCGTCCCTCTCCTCCGACGCAGGATCCGCCAAAGACAGTTCAGACTTGCAGCGACTGAAGCGCCTGAGTGAGATCACATTCCACATCAAATGGATCCATCTGGAAGCAAATGTCGTTCTGAGCTGGGAAAGCATTGCATCGAGCCGTGGCGTTAAGCGTGGTGCTTCTCTAGCGCTTGCGACAGTGACAGGCCAGCATGCTCAGCCATTGCAGAATATGCCTGGCAACTTCTGGACTCTCACATATCGAAAAGGCTGAAAGCCTCTTTCAGGCTCCAAATCTGCGTGATTAGATCTGCTTCCGCGACTTGCCCGCCTTTCGGAATGCTGGATTGTCAGGTGCTTCAAAAGGACCCGGTATAAACTCGACCTGCTCTCCTGGAACCTTAGATGGCGGACGCGGACTGGAACATGCCAAGGTCATTGAGCGCGCGCCTCGCCGCCCCCGAGTAGGACAATCATGCAAGAAAGGTTATCCTTCGATCCACACTTGATGGCCTCAAGGTCGAGATGCTTCGAGCGACTCGAGAGAAATGCCAATGCCATCCATGCCATCCATGCCATCCATGCCATCCATGCCATCCATGCCATCCATGCCATCCATGCCATCCATGCCATCCACGCCTCGTGGCAAACTGCGATGGCAGCCTGTGAAAGCCCCAAGCGAAGCCCGAGAGTGCGAGAGTGCGAGAGTCATATGCACACGTTTGCCCTATGCGCCTGAGCCGGGTCAGGCTTGCCCTCGGCTTTCAGCTTCTCAGCCGCCAGTTTCACAACTGCCTCGTTGGGGAAGTTGCCTGCCAAATCAAAGCGCTGGGCCGGGCCCTCTCAGCTGAAGCCCTCTGCCTTCGGAAATGCCATCACACACCAGCATGAGGAAGTCACTCGGCCCACATTCGAATTCCTGCGGAACGAAATGCGAGGAGAGAGATTCAGAGAGATCGTGACCGAGTCCTTGAGCTCTGGCGCGGCGGAAACAGGGTGGTCTTCAGGGTTTGGACCTCACACGCAGCTCGCACATCGCACAAAGCCAATCAGATCGAAAGGAACTGGCCTCCCGTCGTCTTGTGCTGGGCGTCGCCAAAAGCACGGCTAACAGCTAGGTCGCCGTTCACCCGCGCCACGCCCATCACCTGGCTTTGTGCATCCCAAGTCCCGACTCCATCGAGAACTAATTGCCTCGTGTCTCCTGCCTCCTGCACATTCCCGCCGGTACGTTCGATTCGTGCACGTTCGCTGGGCAGGTCCGGCTTGTGGTCCTAGCGAGAATCAAAGTGCCGCTCGGTGGCGAGTGGGAAACGTGCGGTCCGTCGTGAGGCCACTGTCTGTGCCAGGACCCGGGAAGATGGAGCCATCTGCCCTGCCCAAGAGCACGCGGCTATCGCCGATGTTCCCCACCCGGAGGCTGTAGCTGCCTGGGCGCGCGGAAGCCTACGTCCGACAAGGGAGACGAGTCTGAAAGAGTTTGGAAGTGCTTGACTCTTTTTCGCTTTTCATCTTTCTCTCCCGCCTCCGGGTGTGCTTGGTGCCTTGACGATCACAAAGGTGCCCGTGGAGCCGCTGGGCTGCTGGGAGTCGAGGAACTCCTTGTCCAAGCGGAATGCCAAGGCGGTGACCGCCGCGTCGTCGCTCGGCACTCCGCCGGAAGTCAACTCTTCGGTGATCCGTCTGGCTATGTAGCCGGAGCATTGATCACCTCCGTGACCATCGAAAACTCCGAAGAAGCCCCAGGTGTCTTGGGCATAGATGACGTGGGCATCCTCCATGCTGGGGCGCCATCCGTTCATCTCTGCAAAACCAACTCGAAAGGCAGTGCCACCAACTCGCCTCAGCTCCAAACTGCATCAAACTCCATGAACATCCTGCACATCATGAACATCATGAACTGGAAACGTGCACAGGTTGCGACTGCTGCCGCGAGGCTTGACCGCCACTGAAGTGACGGCCTTTGGCAAGCCTTGCCCCATCTCTAGGAGGTGGCAATAGCCCTTCGCGCGGCCCTGACTGGAACACAAGCAAAACGCAAAATAGCCTCAAAGCCGCACGACTTCTCTTGACATTGATCACGCCTCCAGTACTTGAGTTGTTGGGCCAGCTACAGCAGCTACAGCCAAAAATGAGCAACGGATTGGCTTTGTGTCAAGCAACCCTGTGACACGTATTCAAATGGCTGCCGAAAAAAATGGGCCTGCCGGCCCGCTGCCGCTAATTAGCCCACGATGCTCGCATGCAAACTTGCCAATAAGAAAGCCCGCTCAAGCTCAACATCTCATGTCAGTGCAGCAAGTCTCATTTGTGTCACACGAAGGCGCGGAGGTGGCGCAGGTCGCGGCGCGCCCTTCGGGTGGAGCAAGTCTCGGCGGTCTCGGCTCGGAAGGCGCAGAGGCTGCCCCGCAGCCGCGAGCGCTGGGACGCCTTCCCCGGCGCGCGCCGCGCGCGCCGCGCGCACCGCGGCGTCCCGAGCTCGCAGAGCAAACCCGCCACGTCCACGCCACCGCAGCTCAAGGGGCTGTGGCCCGCCAAGTCCCTCTGATTCACCTTGAGGCAACACGGTCTGGGTTTGCCAATTCGATCAACCCTTCTCAAATTTCCAAACACCTGTCAAACAATCATTCATCCCAGTGTGCTCGTGAAACCTGCTGCGCGCCTTCTCACGTCTCTAGCCACAAAAAGAGAAACGGAGAGAAACGGAGAGAAACACAAGCAACGCAAAGCTCCGCGAAAACGCGACCATCGGCTCGCGGCTCGCGGCTCGCGGCTCGCGGCTCGCGGCTTGCGAGGCGCATCGGCACGGGCGCCGCAGAGGAGCCGCGCCGCCTCCACGTGGCCGGCTCGGCAGGCGTGGAGCAGCGGGCTGGCGCCCCACAGATCTGCCAGGTCCTTGTTGGCGCCCACGAAGCAGAGCACCCGCACCACCTGGCAAAAGGCTCGGGTTCCGTGGTGGTCTTTTTGCCTCTCTCTCTTCATTTCCACATCTTCAACTCGTCGCTCTCCTTGGTTTTTCTTTTCTCTGTTCTTCGTTTCTTCGTTTCTTCTTGCTTCGGTTTGCTTCGGGACCTTCCAATGGCCCCGCCGCGCCGCGCTGCACAGCGCGGTGCGCCGCTCCGTGCAGGTGCGGTCCAGCTCGGCGCCTCAGAGAAAAGTCCCGTGCGGCTCGGTTGAGTCGTCGAGTGTCCCGAAAAGAGGAAGGACTCGAGGCCCGGCCCAGAGGCTTCTTCGCATTGGCTAAGTGAAACAATTGGAACACTTGGAACGATGGAGAGAGATTTGGAGAGGCAGGGGTTGCGTCGGGCCGCCCATGTCACAGAGCAAACGGACCACCTCCCAGTGCCCCCGGCTGGCGGCCATGTAGAGCGGAGTCCTTCCGAGCTGGTCAGTGACGTCGGGGTCGTGAGGCACCTCGAGCGCCCATTGCACTTTGGCGAGATGGCCGCGGCGCGCATAGGAGAGCAGTTGCTCAGAGCCCCCCATGTACGGCATGACCACCAGCGTCAGCATCGCAGCAGGCAGCTCCAGTAAGTCAGTGTCATCGTGAATCACCTCTTCCCCGTGCAGGAAATTCTGCTTGCCGCAAGGAATATCGCACTCATGCTGCAAATAGAGCTTGGCCTGCTTCGCAAACCTGGGCCCATCCGTGGTCAGCTGAATCTCCGTGACTGTTTCACCGGAGACCCAAACAATTCGCAGACGGGATCGGCGCTGGCCGCATCCTCAGGATTTCCAAAACACAACGGGGCTCAAAGGAAGACACTGGCTTTGATGAAGCCAAAACCGGCCCAAGTTTGCCAAGGGTCCTCGACGGCTTTGTCGGCATCTCAGCCGAGCACGCTCCGGAGAAACATCGACGCTCATTCCCTGCTGTTGACGCGAGACTCACACATCTGCTGAAGGCGCTCCACACGTTTGAACTACTGTTGCCGTACATTATTGAAACGAACATAACAATGTATCTCATCTGATCAGGGCACTGCACTCGTTTCTCTGAAATGCTTGAACCTGATCCGCCAGCGTGCAAGCTGAAAGCAATCCTGGCATGCTGAGCTTCTGTTTTCTTCAGACCGTTGCCGAACCTCCGAGCTTCCGAGCCTCCGAGCTTCCGAACTTCCGAAGCCCTAAGGCCCTCTAAGCCAGTCTGAAGGCCAAAAGGCGCAGGAGGGATGCCAAGCTCACCAAACAAATCCCCGGATCAGGCGTTCCTTTCAGCAGCCACAGCGCCGCCACGATGCCGCACGCCAAGAGTCTGGGGACCTCTTTCTGCAGTGCCAAACCTTGCGAGGCCTTGGACCTTGCAGCCCACTCGTAGCAAAGCTGCACGGCGCAAATGCCCGCCGCTTCGAAGGATGGAGAGAACGACCAATTCGAGAGGTGCTTGCCGACGCTGTTCCAAAGTGACCAAAGTCCCACATGCAGCACCACCATACAGACCAGCGGTATCGCCAGTATACGGCTACGATGCGTCCGGCCCATCCTCGTAGCGCGCTCCTGCACTGCCAGCAGCAGGACTGCAGGTGTGGCAAACAGTGCCCAACCGATCGGGCCCATCAAGGGCACACCCAAGCAGTTGGACTCCCTCCAGGACCACAAACCAGCTGAGACACAGTAGATTTCCACCAGGTTGGCCAACAGGACAGTGTCCACAAAGCAAAAGCAGGCTCTTAAGCCAAGGCTGCCCAATGGCAGGAGCCTGCGGAGATACTGATGCTCGCCAAGGATAAACAAAGGCCAAATCAGAACCACGTGAAGAGGCACATAGCCGAGAAAAAGGCCCCAGTCTGGCGAGTAGCTATAGTATCTGTACCAACTAATGCACGAGTTTTCAGCCATGCACCCCGCAACGGCAAGCACGCCAGCAATCGGGAAAAAGCCGCCATGAGCGCCGAGCTCATACTGATGTCTCATGAGCGCCGCAACCACAGCCAGCCCAAAGACAAGCGAAACAGACCAGAGAGGCACCATGGTGACCCTTCAGATGCATCTGCAGTCACCTGAGAGCGGGATCTGAAGGATTCTTGGAAAGCAGTGCGACTTCAAGGGTGCTCTGGTGCCACAAGCGACTTTCATGTCCATGAGAGGCAATCTTTTCTGCGTTGCTTCGGCTCTGTATGGGTCTCCGCGACTCCGAGCGGAGACAGCACCCGCATGCAAACGCCCGTGCCAGGTCCGTATCGGACTGCGCCGGCATCGCCTCGAGACCCGGTGCGTCGGCGCCGCGAGTCGCGAGGCGAAGCCCCGAGAGAGCTCGAAACAAAAGTCAAACAAATATCATGTGACATGTTCGGACAGAACACGCACGCATTGTTATTCACATGTTATTCACATTTTATTCACAAGACTTTCATTGCAACTCGGAAGGTTCCAGAGCCGGGTTCGGACCCCGGGGCCCTTCGAGGCGCGGCCGGGTCTGAGGGGGTGAGACGACGCCGCGAGGGCCAGGCCCTCGTGGGCCTTTGGCACAAAGCCGATCCTGCAGCAAAAAGAAAAGTTGAAGCGAAATGAAGCGAAAACAAGCGTAAGCAAAGAAAGAATACACAGAACGCTCGCAAGAGAAGAGCCGCCTCAGCCAGCCGCATTTCGCATGCGGCCCAAAGCTGCCCATTCCTTACGCTCGGAATTGGGCCAAGCCGGGGCAAGCCGGGGCAAGCCGGAGTGACTGTCGGACCTGGGGAGCCGGACATCATCACCGGAGCGGTCTCGGCCGAAGGAACCGCGGCCCTTCGCGCGACTGTCCTTGCCGCCTTTCTCTTTTCCTGGCAAAATCGTCTCCCAATGTGACGGAAAATGGTGTAACCCTTTAGACATTCATTTGATTTGTTTTGGCCAACTTGTCAGACTTCGATGCATACACACCGGCCTTGGCCTTTGCTCGAACGGCCTCAGCAACGCTTCGAGCTCTGCCAATGTCTCACTGCATCAAACATGGTGCAAGCAACCGCGAGCGCAAAGCCTGGATTGAGAACTTGCCTTCCGTTCCAAATGTCCCATATGTTCCTTCCTTCCTTCCCTCTACTTTCCCCTTTGCGCCGTCCAGCTGAGGTCTGGGCCCTTGCCTCCCCAACCCTGTGGCTGGCACGAGCAAACGAGCATATGAGGCACCGGCATGACCCGCGCCTCCTCGCTCCAACCAAAACCTGGCAAAAGAAAAGACTCACAGCCCCAAGGACCAGAAGGCTTCTCCGTGCCTTCATCTTCTTCCTGGAAGCATAAGCAGTGCATTCGCAGCAAGCCCTCGGGTTGAGTGGCCTCGTCCCATGCGGGCTGGCTGGCACCTCTGGTCATGCACATACACGGCACGCTAGCCACACAGCCCGGGCCTTTGCCGGAGCTGGCAGAACCTCCGCCTTTCCCCGGGCATCCTTGGCAGCCTTGGCAGCCTTGGCCTTGCGCACAGCCCTGGCAGCCCCCGCAGCCGCCGCAGCCGCCGCAGCCGCCGCAGCCACCGCAGCCCTGGCAGCCGCCGCAGCCGCACGGCCGACAGCCGCATCCGCCTTGGGGACATCCACAGCCGCAGCATCCGCCGCCGTAGCCGCAGCCCCAGCCATAGCCACAGCCTTGGCCTTGGCAACCTTGGCAGCCCTGGCCTTGGCCCTGGCACTGGTTGCCTTGGCACCCACAGCATCCGCAGCCTGCAACTCTGCAATTCTGCAACTCTGCAACTCTCGAATGGGATTGATCCAACTCAAGCCCTCAAGCCCTCAAGCTCTCTCCTCCGTGTGCTGCTGGCTGAGCCATCTGTTGCTGCATCATCTGCTGCATCATAAGCCTGGCAAAAGCACAAGCCAACGAACGGCCAAAAGCGTGCAATCTGCGGCAAGCACTGTTGCTGCTGCTGTGGGTTCATGTTGGCCATCCAGCCGGAGTTCATCATGTTCATGGCCTCGCAAGCTTCGCACACGCTCAACTTACATGCGCATGGGCGAGGGAGGTGGCTTCGCACCGCAGCCTGCGGACTTGCTTGGTACGGCTGCGGCATTCCTCAAACGGCTCATGACCGCGCTCGAGTGTAAAGGCAGGGAGAATGGGCGGGGAGACTCGGGGAGACTCGAGCATGTCCTCCATAGCACCCATACTGTTGAGGCCGGCCTGACTCGAACGAATTTCTCTCAGCCGAGGCAAGGCAACTTCTCAGCACCACACCCGCACCCGACACACCAGGCACACCAGGCCTGGGAAACCCATTCGGGAATGGGTCCGAAACTCGACTCCATGACTGGGCGTCCCTACGAAGGCTGTCCGTTTCCAGCAGGCCTGAGGCGAATCAGAGGCGAATCACTTCGAGTCCGCTTTCTCGCTAGCCGCATTGAGCATCGAACGGCCGCTCTGCCTCTGCCTAGACGCAGACGCACACATCGACTCTCGACTTTGCCACTCTGCCTGGACGGGTGCTCGCGAAGGAACTGCATCCTGCGACACGAAGCCAAGCGCTTTTTCCTTTCCTTTCTTTCCTTTCTTTCCTTTTTCTTCCTTTCTGTCTCTCCCACTCTCTCTTCGCTCTCGGCTCCTTGGGTGTCTCTCCGTCGGTGCGGCTACGCCAGTTTGCATCGCGGTCGCGCCAGCCTGAGTCCAACCAGACTTGGTCTCACATTCTGCGCCGCCGCACCGGCCTTCTTTCTCTTTGGTCTCACGCTCCTTCTCCTTCTCCTTCTGCTCCTTCTGCTGCTGAAGCTTGGAGTTGAAGAAGCGCGGAGGTCCTAGCAAGGCAGATTCCACTTTTTGACTACCTCAAAGAAGACTTGAACCCGATTCTCCGTTTACCCTGGAGTCAAAAAGTGGAACCCTGAGGCCCTTGTGGCATGGGGCTTTTGGCTTTTCTTCGAACGCCGTCCTGCAGCTTTCGGTGTTGGCCTGTAGTTCTCACTCCCGTCACTCACTCTCCGAGTTCACCCAAAGGGCGGCACGTGGCCGCCTCCGTTCGCCCTCCGAAGCGCCAACTTTCACCTCGAAGGCATGCGACTTCGCGCACGCGCATCGAACGGTATGAAATCCCTTGCCCATCCTCCGGAGGGCGTTGCCGGCTTGGCAGGAGGGGCCTGCGGATCCGGATCCAAATCCAGAACTCTCCAGTTGGCACGTTGGCACGTCCCGCCTTCTCTGCCAACCTTGCGAATCGCAAAGCTCAGAGTTGAGGTCTGTCGCATCTCTGAGTGCCACACGGTGTGCTGGCGCCGCCATTCAGACGGCCTCAGCTTTGAAAGGTGCCACAAACGCCCTTCAAGGGCGTGCCTCGACCCAGTGCGGCCCACGGGTCATCCTTGCAGGCACACCACAACGGCAAGATCCTTTGAGTGTGTGACTCACCTGTTGCCCTGAAACCTTCCGAAACATAAGTTGCATAAGCATTTGAGCAACGCACCTTGCCTTCTTCTCGGATTCCTTCTTCGCAGCTGCATGCTCGGCTGCGTGCTCACGCCGCTTGCCGATGGCTGCCCACCTAACGGACGCAGTGAGCTCATTGAGCTCATTGCGCTCATTGAGCTCATTGAGCACCCCCGTTTTGGGTGGATGCTGGGAAGGCCCTGACTCGGCTTTCTCCTTGTCCGTGGCTTTGAAGGTGGTGGACCTGGGACATCAGGTCTGGACTGGACATCCGGACTTCCGGATCGATCTCGTGAGGTGCTGGCTCAATGGCCGCCTTCCCTTTCTCCCAGGGAGGCGTGGCCTCAGGCTTCGAAGGGCAAGAATGGGCTCCAGGCACTGCTTCAGCCGAGGGGCAGCTCTATCCTTTCTTTGCACCACTGTTGCTGCCTAAGGAGACAACAAAAACACGTGGCAAATGGCCACAGGAAACCTGCCTCCGCCTCCTCCTTTGCACGGAGTTCCTTCTCCTGGCAAAACAAAGAACGGTTAACAAGCGCGGTGTACCGCAACACGACCAAAAAAATGCACTTGCCTGCGTCGACTCTCGACGGTATCCTTTGTGCTGTCGGAAGCGTTGCTCCAGCGACTGCAGCTCAATGTAGACCTTACGCTCTCGGAGCTCTCTTCTGAAAGCTGCAATGTGGAAACGCGGCGTGAACCGATGCGTCTGCCAGAGGCCACTGCGGCACCGTATTGGTCAAGCTTCTGCTGCTCTTCCTGCGTTCTTCACAAGCCAAACGGATGTGTCGCGTTCGCCGGACCTCTGTGAGGCTTTGGCCATTCTCCGCAGCTGCCTGAGCGACCGCTTTGTCCGCAAAGGGCTTTTGGGCAGCCGGCCTTGAGCTCGTTGATCTCGGCCATTCGCTTGCGGCAATTGGCGATGAGCGCCTGCAAGGAGCTGAGAGAAATCGAGCCGAAGCCGCGCGAGCCGTGCCAAGGCCGCTCCGTCCTCCAGGTTCTTGACCATGTAGCTGCCCGCTTCCCCGGGCCCGGAAGGAGCCAGCTCAGCGGCCTGGCCACTAGTCACCCCGACTTCGTGACTGCGTGACGCGCTCAGCGAGACGGGGCGGCCCAGCTCGGCATCTGCGACCCGCGATCGAACTCCAACTCCTCGATGTCGCAGGTGGAGTAGTTGATCTTCACGGCCTGAAGCACATTAAAGCACACTCATGTCCTCATGTCCTCCTTTCCTCGCGGAAAGCGGAAAAAAACAACGCCTTGATGAAGTACTTCACGGGCAGCCAGCCATCCAACCTTACTTCTTCAGCTGTTTTGGCAACTCGAGTAGGGTCGAAGGCGCCAAGCCCCTGTGTAAGAATCACCTCGTTCTTGCTCCGGTAGAAGACCATTCCGTCCTGCCAGTCAAGCAAGGAGGGCCACAGAGGGGTTGCACGGGGGCAGGTCCTGCATGGCTGCTGGCACATCGATGTAGAGGAAGAGTTCGGCAGTCGAACGCATCCCACGGATCTTTCCATCCTGGCTTTTTCAGACTAGTCAAACCGATCCTGAAATCCCGAAATCCTTAAATCCCGCCTCTGGCAGTCCGGGTGCCAAGTGGATGTGGTTCCTGGCCACCTGTGAGAAAAGGGAAGGGCACGGTGCACAGCGCGTGTGCCACGGAATTCGGCATGTGCCGTCCCCGCCTTGGACAAGCCTTGGCGCTTGATGAAAGGCCAATGCACCAAGTAGGTGCCGTGGACACAGTCCTGCACCTTGGCAAAGCGAATGGGCTTCGAGTCGAGCGAGTCGGCTTTGGCTAAAATCGGCTCAACGAGTTCGGCCATCGAACCAACTCCCACCGTGCTCGGGTCGGAGATGATCTCCAGCAGCAAATCATCCTCCACCACCTGCCAGTTTGCCACCCGAGAGACACTGAAGGGAAAACAACTTTAGACCTCCGCGCCTTCATGGTGTGGCCCTGGTTGGCACGGATCAAGAGCTCCCCATCAAATTCTCTGACCTAACGGCGAATTCGGAAGCTAGCTCCGGAGCTCGAATCTGAGGATGCCGCCATGGTGTAGCGCTCTTTCTCGTCAAAGTAGACACAGGCCATCAACTCCTTGCACCGGACTCGAGACGCTTGCGCACACGTCTCGCGAGTCACATGGCATGTGTCACTTGAGAATTTCTGAAGCCGTTCCTCCAGGTTGTATGGCCTAAAGTTCTTCAGCTCCATGATGTCGCGCAATCGCACGAAGCCATCCTGAGGCTTCCATGTGCCAATGGGCCGAGCACTTTGCCAAGTCGCTGCGTTCGCAAAAGCCCCAAATGCAGTCCTTCCGGATTCGAACATCGAGCTTGTGTGCGGCATGCCGCAGAACATACGAAAACCTCAGCTTGCGCTTTGGAAGAATCCGGCAACGTTGAGGCTCAGCTGCCACTCTATGCACTCTCTCAGCTCTGTGCATCTTGGAGATCTTTACATGCTCGCGATCCTCCGCGAGTCGGTTGAAGATTGGCTCCAATGCTGCCTGAAGCCACCGGCAGCGGCTTTTGAATGTGAAGGCTTTCCGCAAGCCTTGTCACCATCTCGTTTGAGATTCCATCGCTTGCCTGAGCTTAGGACGCTTAGGACCACTGCAAGCTTAGGACCATCACTGCATGCAGGATCACATTCTGAGAGGGCATTCTGAGAGAACCTGCCTCCGTCATCTTCGTCCTCGGCATCCTCGGGTTTGCGAGTCGAGCTCGCTCTGCGCATGCTGGAACAATGGGCCAGGCGAGGCCAGGAGGTTGGGGCTCATTTGGTCCCTGAATCGAAGAGCGACAGGACGGAGCGGGCAAAACTCAAAACGCGCCTTGGAAGAGGACGCAACGTTCTCACCTAGGACACGGAGATCTCGAGTTCGCGGGATTGGAGGCATCCAAGTCGACGGCTAAAGTCATTCAGCTCATCCTCATCCTCTTCCTGCAGCTTTTTTTCGTGTTAAACAACCGCAACAAGCCGCGGCCTCATCGGCAGATTGGAAGGAAGCTTCTGAAAGGGCATCCTCAGATGCCAAGGTCACTGAGTGAACTGAGAGAGATGCCGGAAGACGGTTGTCCCTTCCTCGTCAGCCATATCCAAAGCGCTGCCTCAGCAAACTTCGCACTTCCCAGTTGGCTGGGACTTTTCTGAGAGGTCCGCATCTGGCAGCTTCACACTGGATGCATCCGCAGCCCGGGCCCAATAAACACTTCTCGGGCCCTGAGGTCTGCGAACACGAGACTCCACACTCCCAGCTTCTCCGGATTCAACAGATCAACGGATCCGATCCCGACGCTTCTCAACTTCTCAACTTCTCAAGACCAAGGGGAAGGCACGAGCGAGCGCGCATTTTTTCGCACTCTCAAACTCCGCGGACTGGATGCACCCACTCAGAGTGCTCAGTGAGTGCTCAGTGTCCTCCTTGCGATTCAAAAAAAGGACTGGATGGGACAATGGGATTAAGGGTGCCCCTCTTACCTCTGGGGAACAGGCATTCCTGGCCAAGGCTGCTGAGGTCTCTGGGCAGACCCACGCCGATAGCGTGATGCTGCCCGATTTTCAGGGATGACCCTCTCAATGAATTCGTTTTGCATGAGGCGACGCGGACCGCTGAACGCTAGAGAGAGAGAGAGAGAGATATATATTTTTTCATTTTTTCATATTTAATAGAAAAGAAGGAGAAAAAGAGAACAGAGGAGAAACGTCCGAATGCGAAAGATACGCCGGCCTTTGGTCGGAAGCTTGGAGGCGGCCACCTGGATCGCTTCACCCGGAAACCCGAACATGAAATCGGACATCGGCCGACCTCCTTCGCAATGGCGAGGACACCGCCCATGTGCTCGAAAGGGTTGTAGGGCGCAAAGTTCTTCCAAACCTTGAAGGCCTGAAATGAATATGACTGCTCATCTTGATATTTGCTCTCTATTGTGTCTTGTCCATCATTTCAATTGTGGCTGCCTTTGCGTGCGTAATAAGTTCTACTGGTTTTATTCATATTCAAAAAAGGAGGAGAGACAAAATAAATCCCAAAGCAGAAAGACAAACTGGAAAACCCACCAAAATGCGAAAACATCGGCCATGAACAATCCAGACATACTATATGTATATTTGTTACTATATAATTGTAATGTCAGTCCTCACAAGAACATAATTATACATCTCCACAAAAGTCCGCCAAATATTTTGAGGAAACCAAGAACGTCTTCGCTAAACACCTGCTGGAGATAAAATACACCAGCATAGACCTAGATAGCATGGGAGATTACCCGCAACAGCGCTCTGACTGCATTGCAAAACAGGCACTGCCAGCAACCACCACACACCTGCAGCACCAACCTCGCCCAAACTCACACAAAACAGCCTGTTTGTATTTTTTTAGAAGAAAAACAACAGATATAGTCATGAAGGCATGGGAATCATGTGTTTTGCTGGAATGTATGTTGCATCAAAATCAGTCCTCATAAGAAATCAACTGCATTCATCCGGCAATGGGGTTATGTATATATATATATACATACATATACACCCCCCCCCAGGGCCTACCTTTCCACTTCAAAATGTACAAAACCCTCTTATTTTTGAAGACAGGGGGTGTGAGCATATATACGCAAGAAGTGTGCTGTTGCTGCATATTTTTTTGTGGGTGACAAGTCATGTTGAGTAACAACAGCAAACAGTTTATAAACTTTCAAGACAGCTTATAAACCATGTCAAGGGTTTGACGGTTTCCCTGCAACAAGGGCACGGGGGGGGAGGGGGGGGGGGGTACTGAGAAGTCTTTACAAAGTTGGCTGAGTCACACCTCACTGCTAAGACTTCCAACCAACCACCCCCCCCCCCCCTCCCAAAATTTCCAACCACCCCCCCCCCCTCCTTCAACGATACCATGAACACTTCGTAGGGTGTTGTTGCCTTGATGCGGGAAACTCGTCAAACACTCAATAAGGTTTATAAACTTTCCTGAAAGTTTATAAACCTTCTGTAGGCTTATTGCGTAGCAAGTGGAGACTGTTGTTTGGGAAAAAAAGGACACTCATTTGAGGCCTTGTTTGATGTGGTTTGGGCATGTGGTCCTAAAAGGTTGATGATTGTGTGTGGGTGTGTCATCACTGCTGCACTGTTATATCAAAGGCTGTCCATTCGGTCCAAGGGAACACAATCTGAGCAACTGCTGCAAAACACTCTGTTTTACAGCATTTTGTTGGATCTCTAATCCCTTCAAATGTCCAAATTTTAAACACCTGAAACCTAGAATCTGGAGATCAGAATCCTTGAGATGTCTAATGTTGGATTCTCCAAGCCTCATAATTTGGAGCCTGGAGTACTCCAACACGAATTGAATTGGAATGTTGAAGGGGGAAATGAACAATCTTCGGCCCAAGGGAACACAATCTGAGCAATTTCTTCAAAACACTTTGTTTTACAGTTTTTTTGTTGGACCTGCAATCCCTTGAAATGTCCATGGTGAAGCACCTGAAACCTAGAATCTGGAGATCAGAATCCTCGAGATGTCTAGTGTTGGATTCTCCAAGCCTCATATTTTGGAGCTGGGAGTCCTCCAACATGTTTAAATATAGATTCCTTTCCAAATATGCTGCGAATTGAGTTGGAATGTTGAAGGGAAAATTGTTGTTTGGGGAAAAAATCTTCGGTCCAAGGGAACACAATCTGAGCAACTGCTGCAAAACACTGTGTTTTACAGCATTTTGTTGGATCTCTAATCCCTTGAAATGTTTAATTTGAAACACCTGAAACCTAGAATCTGGAGATCAGAATCCTCGAAATGTCTAATGTTGGATTCTCCAAGCCTCATAATTTGGAGCCTGGAGTCCAACATATCCAAGTACACATTCCTTTCCAAATACGATTTTGATCCATTTGCATATTGAATAGAATTTAGTAAGCACATAGTTCACCACCATTCATAATTCACAATAATGTCTATATTAGATCAGTATTTGAACAGGAATACTTTTCCAAATAAGGAAAATATCATTGCAGTAGAATCCAAATATACTTTAATGCAGACAGAATTCAATTAGCTTTTGAACAATAATTTAATCAAGAATCCATCCCCAAATACAGCTTGAATTGGAATATAGCTTATTCTGGAAAGAAATCACTTGGCCTTTGCAAACAAATTTTAATAGTAACTCATTCCCAAATATGATTTAACTTAAATGTGGCTAAACAAATAAAGGGCACATATCCCCAGACTCCCAAACTTGGTCTGGAGATGTGCTTGGCATGTGCAGGTCTCAAAGCTTTCATTTTCAGGAGATTTTGTGCTTTTGGGTCTGTGCAGGTTGCAGAGCTCAAAGCTGCCAAAAACATCATTTTTTCAATGTTTTTCCCTGGTGTACTCAAAACCACTGTAAAAACCAGTGATTCAATCAAAGCCAGGCTCGAATCTGAAAACGGAATCCGTTTTCGCTTTGCTGCCTTTCAAGCCTCAAATAATCAGACATTTGCTGTCATATAGAAGGTAAAAAACAACAAACACACTGTATTTTACAGTGTTTTCAGGCATCTGCAAGAAAGAGGCACACAGAGTAGAGTTGACACCTTCAACTAGAAGAGGGCAAAGGTAGGCCCTGGGGGGGGTGACCATATATATATATATAGCCGAAAGCCATATCCCAAACTGCTAAAAATTGTGAATGGCGTTCTTCGCTAAGAAACTACTGATTGAGAAAAAAGAACTGCATACAAGCTTCATATGAGTCTTGGAAAGGATGTCCAGACTGAGTGACTAGATGGGAGTGGCGACAGCGAGCGTGACGGAGGCCTTCTTCACTTCATCCCAGTCCACGATGGGAGCTTCGCCATGGCCCCACTTGTCCTGAGCGGAACGCGGCCGAACGCGGTTCCCCGAATTGGCCTGGGGCGGCGGCGGCTTTGCCGGGCCAGGTCACACCCCAAACGTAGGTGTTGCCTGCCCCAATGCCCGAGTTCCCGAGCCCCCGTCGAAAAAAAAAGCCTCAATGGCAGGCCTCCCGGATATGGGTTGGAAACCTCCTACATGCAGCTGACAAGTTGCTTTGGATTCGGATCCTTCCAAATTCCGCAAAGGCTTCGTCCTTCACAGGATTGATGATGGCCATCGCTGCCTTGTTCACACCTGGCCCGGCGCGAGAGTTACACCTTTCGAGTAACTTTCTCCTCTAAGCCGTCGGCTCTTCTCCATGCCCAGATCCGTAGGCTTGACCTTGGGAGTCATGGTCCTGGTCACGGACTTGATGGCCTGACGGGGCATCGAGGGCTCAAGTTCCCAAGCTCCACGGAAAGCAAAAAGGAGCTGGCCTGCAGCCTGGACCTGAGCTGCGCGTGTGTGCCCGTCCCGCAACACGCACGCTCCGAGTGCCAGGCGCCATGGCGAGATCGGCAAAGCCTCAGTTCCAGTGCGTCTTTCTTGGACAAGTCCTGTCCTGAAAGGTCCTCTGGGTGCCGGACTGTGAGGCCCGGGAGTGTTGCAAGCGCTGAGAGCCGAAAATGCGCCGGAAGTTGCTGGACACGGGTCGCAGGCTGCAAAGCGGAAATTTTGCAGGCAGGCTCGGAGCTGACAAAGGAGAGCGGCGCTGTCAACATGTTTTTCTGTGGGCCTATGTTTCCAGATCAGCCCATGTGGGCTTGTACACTCTCACGTGTCGTGGCAGCCTTGGCTCCAAGCGTTGCAAGGGAGGCAATTCGCATCGAGCACGCGGAGACTCTTCTTGACTCATAACTTGCCTCACTCTTAGCCAAGGGCTGTCACCACTCACTTCGTTCGCTTCGCGCGGTTCGCTTTGCGCGGTTCGCTTCGCCGAGGCGCTCGGGGCCGAGCTGCTCCGCGGCCTGGGCGGCGAAGTGGATGTGGCGCTCCACGGCGTCCACCCACTCCGCGCAGTGCGCCTCGGACTCCGCGGCGAAGGAGAAGCTGCGGAAGGCGTCCCCGGTGAAGGACGAGGGGTCCTGCCAGCCCGTGGCCTCCGCCGGACGGATCACGAAGGAGTCGCCATGCCGCGACACCGCGGCCCGGTGCATCAGGAAGTTGATGCAGCCCTTGGCTTGGACCTCACCTCCGCTTCCTGCGCTTCCTGCGCGTCCGCCTCCCTCGGCTCCCTCGGCTCCCTCACCTACCTCACTGTCGAACCAAAGGAAGTGGCCATCCTGCACCACGCACTGACGCGGCTGCCGGTCCCAGCGGAAGGCCCGCAGCAAGACGCGCATTCGGTTGGGGCTCGACTTGTACAGGAGGCCCTGCCGACTCAAAGGGTTCAAGCAAAGTGCCGAAACCGCAAACCACACATATGAGCATGTGCTTAGATACATAGATAGATAGATGGATGGATAGATAGATAGGTGGATAGATAGGTAGATAGATAGATAGATAGATGGATAGATGGTGCATTGAAATTCAAATTCCCAGAGATCTTTTAGCACTTCGAATCTTGAATTTGAGCAGCGTGACCGTAAAGCCACTTTGAGGTACATGGGGCTCAAGACTCTCCAGACATTTGCAGCAGCTTGAACATTGAATCAATTTGTAGGATGCGATTAGCAGCTCCAGCTTGCAAAAACCGCTCTCCATGAGAGGTACGCAAAGCACACTTTGGGAGCCCTCAACGCGCTGACCGCAACTCTGTTATCGTGTTTATGATCTTGTCAAGTTCTAGTCAAGTTGCTAGTCAAATTGAAGCCCAAATCAACTAGAAAAATGCTCCAAGCCTTTGCGCAGTTCCATCTGCACTCTAATTAAAAAAAAGAAGAAGCTGAAAATCAATTTCGAGTTTATGCGACGCTTATCAATTTTGCGCTCTAAAATATGTCCATTGACCTTTGAAAGCCAAATATGAGGACTAGACCCAGATAAAAAGGATGTTTCAAGTTCAGTTCAAAGAACTGAGTTTCATCCTGCAGCCAAAGAACATCTATTGAAATTGCAAGTTGGAACTGAGATCAATTTCAGCCTCAAAATAATAATCTCTCATCTAAATCCATGCAGCTTTCACTAAGCACGAACGGAGCCAAGCCAATCACAAGAAAGCGATTCAATCAACATGGGTATTATCCTTGGCAAACATGCAGTTCAATCCCCTTTTCAGGCGTCAGTGCATCGGTCTGCCCCACCCTTTGCAACTGAGGGTCAAGCTAGGCGCGTACTAGATCGAACATCAAGGGCCGGTGAAAAACGACGCAAAGTTTCCCAAAGACTTAATAACTTGTTGCTGGACCCAAGGTCCCGAATAGCGTGGTAACAATTCTTCGGACTGATTTCAAGGCTCAGGCCCAGACCTAGTTTTGCCACATTCAACATTCCCTACATGTTGTGCAGAAACACACAAACAGAAAGGGCAAAGAGACAAAACCCAAAACCTTCCGGGTAGGATGGTGTTTTTCGCCTTTTTGGGGCTTAGCGGACAATTTGGCCAGAATTGGCAACAAACGAAGCAACAAAAAAAAACACGAAACAACCAAGCCGAAATTAAGACCAGAAAATCAACAAATACCAGCCAGCCCCACTAAATTTCGCACGGCCGAGTTTCCCACGTACCTGGTTTGTCCCACTTGCCCGCTTAATTGGTCCAAGTTTTCCGCTGACACGTTTCCGGGATTTTCTGCGCAATTCCTCCACTGAGCTTTCCCGAGTTGTTCTGAGCTTTTCCGGCCAGCGCTTGCCATTTCCAGCCAGAATTCCGTGACCTTTCCGCGCAGGTGCAAATCTTGTAGCAGCGGCCCGGTACAGCGGCAATGCCCGTGCGACCATCAAGCTGCCCCGGCCTGACCTTGCTGTCGCTTCTGGGTGACTCGGATCTTCCGAGCTTGCCCGGCTTTGTCTTTCGCCGGGTTGTCGCCTTGTTTTGCGCCCCGCCTTTTCTGCCGGGATGTTCCAAAGTGTTGCACCGAGTTTTTGCACTGACAAATTCCACCACATTGATCGAAGTTTTCCGCGGAGTTTTCCAGCTTGCCAATTTGTTCTGGCCAGGCTGTTCCCAAAGCAGAAAATTAAACGTCAGACATGCGATTTATTGACGTTTTTAAGTGGAGAGTGGGGCCCCCTTGGCCGAAGGAGGAGATTATGAGACTGCGAAGGTGAATCAAGCTGCGCAAGTGCCACCGGTTTAGTGATGATCATTGGGTGTGACACAGCGCTGCTCACCATGTTCATCCCACCAAGGCCAGGGTCGAGACACATCAGCGTGTCCAAAGTCTTCCTTTGGAACAAGCGCGTGGCTGTTGAATTTCTGAGAATGTTCCTTTTGAAACTTGGTACGGTTGAACAAACGATATGAAATTTATGAGATTCAATTTGCACTGTGGCGCCTGCAAGTTGATCCCGGCTCAACCTTGAGCCAGATTTGCAAGAAATCAGAAGGTTGTTGTTCTCTTGAAAGCTAAAGAGCTAACGTATCTTTTAGCTCTTGGGTCACGGTTCTCAGGGGTCAGGTTAGATCTTCAAGCTGAACGTGCGATTTCATTTGTCCGACCAAGTGCCATGCTAGCGCATGACACTAGCGCATATAAAAGGAACTTCCGTAGCACAGAAATTAAGTGAAAGGTAGCTTGCGCAGATAGATAGACTCAGAAGATCACACAGCGAGCACGAAAAGATAGCTCTTGCCAATGGCTTACAGAGGGTCGGATGGCGTATGCGAAACGATGGCGTGTGACGTGTGCAGATAGGAACAAATAAGATGAAGAAGGAACACGCGCATGCGAGAAACCATGTGTGGGGGTGTGTCGGGGAATAGAAATGGCAATGCGGAGGGCGAGGTGCAGATTGCGTGGCAAGCGTAGCACTTTTGCGAGGTCAGGTGTAGATTTCGTGGCAGGCGCAGCACTTTCGCAAGGCGAAGTGAGGATTTCGTGGCAGGCGCAGTGCTCTCACAAGGTAGAGAAAGAAGAAAGAGCAAGAGAAAGAGAGAGAATTACAAAGAACAAAAGAAAAATAATTAGAGAGAAAAGGAGAGAAAGGAAGAGAAAGAAAGGACAAATACAAAGAAAGAAAGCAAGAAAGACAGAAAGAACAGAGAAAAGAGAAGAGAAAGAGAGAAGAGAAAAGAAAGAAAAAGAGAAAAGGAAAGAAAGAGAAACAGAAAGAGAAACATATAGAAGGAAGAGACAAATATAGAGAAAGAGAAAAGAGAAAGAGAAAGACAAAGAGAAAGATAAAGAGAAAGAAAAATAAAGAAACAGAAAAAAGAAAAGAAGGAAGAGAAAGGAAAGAGAAAGGAAAGAGAAAGAGAAAGAGAAAGAGAAAGAGAAAGAGAACGAAAAGGGAAAGAGAAAGAAAAAGAAGAGACAGAAAAGAGAAAAGAAGGAGAAAGAGAAAGAGAAAGGAAAGAGAAAGAGAAAGAAAACAAAAAGAGAAAGAGAAAGAGAAGAGAACAAAAAGAGAAAGAGAAACAGAAAGAGAAAACATATAGAAGATTGAGAAAAATATAGAGAAAGAGAAACGAGAAGAGAAAGAGAAAGAGAAACGAGAAGAGAAAGAGAAAGAGAAAGAGAAAAAGAAAAGAGAAGAAAGAGACAGAGAAAGAGAACGAGAAAGAACATTGAAAAGCAAAAAGCAAGAGAACTATAGTTTTTGTATTTTTGAAATTTCCGATGAATATACATCTACATATGTGTACAAACAAAATTGTGCATTCCCCCCCTCCTCAGAAAGCAAAGCAACTACAGATTTCATGTTCTAGCTATGCTTTGCTCCTCTCACCAAAAAAAAAACTGGCATGTGCCCCAAGAATGTGCGTGCAGGGCTACACTGCAATTCTCTGCAAGCCTTGCATTTGTCGAACAGGAACCTGAAGTTTGACAACAGGCTAAGTCTGGAGTACTCCAAAAGGTGTGTGCATGAGTTTATGTTGCTGGTGGCACTCTTCAGTCCTTGAGGATGGGCAAGGATGGCAGCAAGTCGAAGGCCGACTCTTTGGTCCTTGTCACGGTGGTGCCAAGCGTCTTCCAGGGCAGTCGCTCTGGGTCGCCACCTGGACTGAATCAAGACTCGCGTGAAGTGAGAGGCGACCTGGGCCTCTCTTCCTGTGAAGGACAGTACGCCCTTCTTCCCGAAACAGCTGCTTTGTCACGACCTAACGCAGTGAGCGCATGCCAGCGCACTGAGCGATGCAAGCAGAAGCGTGTCGGATTCAGGGTTTGGCGGAAAAACCAACGCCCCATTTCCGTTCCGCATAGTCTTTTTCTTTGGAGAGAACCTGTCTACCTCAACTTCATCCAGCCCTTCGCAGGAGGGCGGCGACTTCTTTGAGCAGCCCGTAGCCACCGACCACCGACTTGGAGCGGCTGAGTTCCACCTCCTGCGCCTCTTGGACGGTGTCGCACACCTCGTTCCCCAAGGCCTCCAAAAACGCGGCGCTTGCACACGAGGTTAACAAGAACGGGGGGTGGGCGGAAGGAAACATCACGGAATTACGAGTATCTGGATGGGCCGCTGCCTGCCCACATTCAAACAAACTGCCATGCCCTGTGAAGCGTGCACCGCCTCGCTCTTTGCCTCCACCCAGTGCCACAGGTCCCAGAGCTTCGTTGCCAGCAATTGCCGAGCCTTCAGCCAAAGACGAGTCTACGAGACTATGAGACTACGAGTCTACAAGCAAACCGGACGCCTCTGCTTTCAGTGTAACGTTGCCCACGTGTGCACTCGACTCGTCAAAGCGCCGCAGGATTCTCTCAATGGGGTTCCTGCCAACAGAACTCAAAATAAAGAAGCTCCGGAGTCCGGGGTCACAGAGTCAGTGGAACGGTGAAATTGCAACGGAATTGACAGTGTCCTCTCCGCCAGGCAGGGGTCGTAGTCCACCACTTCGGGCAGTTGCCCTTGCGCGAAGTCCACCAGGTCATTGGTCAGGGGCAACAGGAAGCCTGCGGATTGCCATTGGGCATGGCTCAGATCAGGTCGGATTGCATGCGCCAGGCCTTCGAAGATGACATACCTACGACTTCCAAAAGGCCAGTGAAGCCGTGGAGACTGCAGCGAATCTCTGCAAATCTCTCGCATGGACTCGCGCCCGGCCTGTTCATGGAGGGCAGGGAGATTTCCTGCGTGGCTTGCACTTCGGCCACGATGAGCTCCATGACCCCAGCCAACTGCCTCGCGAGCGTGACACAGACCCGAAATGACTCAGACAACTTGTGAAGCTGACGACCTTCGTTCTGGTCATGCAATTGATTCTTAAAAGCTTCGAAGCAAGCTCACGCGCCTTCCGCTCACAGGCATGCCGCCCATCTGCAGGGGCTTCCTGCGGTCCACCAGATGCGCGCGCAGGGACTTCAGGGAATCCTCGAAGGCGGGCATGCCCATCAGCGGAACCTCGCGAACTCTGCGAGAGTTCAAATCACGTGAGCCGAAGGCCGAGCAAGACGAGAGTCGTCTTGGCCGCTGGCCGTGAAGAAGCTCCGTTCAGGGAAGCACTCCCTGACGGTGTCCCGGAGCTCCTGTCAGCTGAGAGCCAAGCGGGCTCCACGGCTTCACGGCTTCACGGCTTCACCTTCCACTGTCCTGACGCCCGGGGTCGTCAAACTTCTGCTCCAGAATCTTCTCGAGTGCAGAGCCTTCGTAGCGCAGGGTGTTTTTGTTCACCACGAACACGAGCTCCTGACATGATCCCAGGCCCCTTCAGAAGCCAGTCCCGATGTTCGACTTCTGCAACTCTCCTTTCATTAGGGTCCCTTCCAAACTTCCAAACTTCCGACCCTTCTCTTTTCACCATTCGCGCTTTTGCCCATCCTGCTTTGGGAGCTCCGCGCCCTCCAGGCGCACCAGGGACCGCGCGGCCAGCGACATGCCCAGCGTCTGCAGCGCCTGCTCCGTGGCCATGCCGTTCGCCACGAAGGCCACCTACGGCTGGCCGCAAAAAACAATTACGTGAGCCGAGTCCGAGTGAGCCGAGTCCGAGTGAGCCGAAGGAGAAGTCGCTCCAAAAAAAATCGGATGAGACGTGGATGTGAACTAGACACACCGTGAGCTGTTGATGCTGTCGTTTTGAGCGGCGCCTGGCAAGCTATCACCTAGAATCGAGCTCAGTTCCCGATGCCTGGCTCCCCAGCAGCAAGCCGAAGACGTTCACAAGGGTCCGAATGGCCGCCTCGTCCGCAACTCTTTCCGTCTCGTACGCAAATGCGCTTGCGATTCTTATATAATTATGTCACAGCCACTACCGTCCGTCTTTGGCAATGTTGTATCCGTCCGTGGCATGTGTGACAAGCGCGGACATTATTTTGCCTCACAACGATGGAAGCCAAACAAAGACGATCGTGAGCAAATACGAGCGCCAGCGAACCCAAACATTTTGCAGGCCTAAAAAGTACACACGGCAATGTTTAGTGAAACTACAGTCATCCAGCACCACCTGCAAGCTATGTGCTCTCTATCCTGGCTTCTTGGTCCTGGTCCTGTTTGTAGTGAACCGGAAAATGCTTCTCTTCAGGCCAGAACTCTTCCCTCGAAAACGCAAAGGACTGAACGCCGAGGCCCACCGTCAGGAAAAGCTTGCATTGGCGCTGGACTCACAGGCTTGGCTTTTGAAGCATCGGCATACAACTTAGGTCCAAGCCAAAGCGTTGTTGCCGCCTTCGCAGTCAAAGACCAAGAGATGCTCCGGCCCGCTCGCCTCCACAAGTCGAACGTCTGAGTCTCTGCCTGCGGAGACTCTCGGGGCCTCCGAAAGCTGGCTCACGGGAACCGCCACGACGTCGATTCCCTCCGTGACCGACTCTGCGGAGTCGCTGGAAGTGAAGGCATCCTCACTCGGGAACAGGCAAGGAAGTGAAAAAACGCAAAGTCGACAAGCAGATAACCAGATTTGTTGATGTTTCCTGTAAACAGTGGCATACAGAAATCGCACGTCCAGGCTCTTCGGCGCCAACCAAGCAGGAAGCCAAGTAGGACTTCCCGCTCCGGCCATCGCCCACGAAGATGATTGGGCAAATCTGTCCTGTGCTGCGCTCTCTCAAAGCCAAACGCATAGCCCTGGCGCTCCTGGCAGCGCTCGCACCAGCTCAGCTCCCTGAATCAAAAAGAAAGTCATGGCCCCATGAATCTGTTCGATTCGTGGGGAGGGAAAAGCACCCCTTTGATTTGCAACGTGTTGGCAACCTCCGGGGCCAAAGTCGCGCAGTTGTCAGAGAACCTGGGAAGCCGGAGAAGTACAATAGATACAAAGGAGTGACCAGGTCAAACAATGGAGAGCGACAAGCATGCAAAACTGCGATCCGGCCCAGGCGCTTGAGCAGCGGCTGCGCCTTCAACGCCATAACATGGCGGGAGCGCTTGGGTTAGCCAGAAAAGAAAACAAACAGAGAAGTGGCGCTAGGGTGGGGAAAGCTGCACCGAGACTGCTTGATGCTTGACTTGAACGGGCAAATGGCGCACGCGGCCGGCCAACCGAGTCGGCTCTTGCAAAGACGAGCTTTTTCCGGCAAGAAAAGACGACGTTATCTAAGGGGCTAACGAGCCTCAGGTGTATATCACCGGCCCTGAGCAACGGCCCTCCTTCATCAGCCTCCTCACTTTCAGAGGGTCCATCTCTCCGCGGTCGATGATCCACTCCTCAGCTTTCAACTTTCTCGGGCTTCCCTCCGAAAGAGCTTTCCTAAGCCTAAGCCCTCGGAAGCCCTCGGAAGCCCTCGGAACTCCTAACCGTTGAAACCGCTGAGCCCCGCGCACCAAAGGTCTCCTTGCCGCCACGGCCGTCGGACTGCAGGGTGGTGATGACGCGAGTGGGCGGCGTTGCCTGCCCGGCACCAGGCAAGGCGCAAGGCGCAAGGCGCAAGGCGCAAGGCGCAAGGCGCAAGGCGCAAGGCGCAAGGCGCAAGGCGCAAGGCGCAAGGCGCAAGGCGCAAGGCGCAAGGCGCAAGGCGCAAGGCGCAAGGCCAAGCCTCGCAATACTTCTCCACCGCCACATTCGTGGAGATGTAAGTGACCTGGCTCTGGATGCAGCTCGCTCGGCCCTATCGGCCCTATCAGCCCTATCGGCCCTATCGGCCCTATCGGCCCTATCGGCCCTATCGGCCCTATCGGCCCTATCGGCCCTATCCTCGTCCACGATCTGCATGCCCTCCTTGTCGTCCAACTCCTGGAACATGTCCCTGGCCTTGTCGGAGCACTGCTTGCCCTGAACGAGCGGGAGGCTCGGCTCTGAGAAACCGCCCCGGGCTGTGTCGCTCCTCGTCCGCCAAGGCCTGCTGCTCCGCGGCCGAAAGCATGTTCTCCTGGACGGGTCTGTTCGACTCGGAAGCGCTCATGAGCTTCTCTGAGCTTTTCTGAGCTCCTCCGCATTCAGCTTGTTCAGCACCGCCTCGGCTTGGTAGGCCAAGGCCTCTGCTTCGCCCCGCGTGTCCTGAGCGTGCAGAGACGTCGGCACGGTGGCTCGGCACTCATGTCCTTCATCTCACGGCAGTTCACCACGGCCTGCCAGGCTGCGAGGCCAGACATTCGAACATCCATTCGATTCGCCTCATTGATGCACTTGATGCTCTTGTCGAAGTTGAGGTTGCGGGACTCCACTCGAGACAACATCTGCAGGACGGCGGTCTGGCACGGGGACTCTTTCGATGTCTCGGCTCACCTACCTCGCCTCAGCTCGGCGCCACCCGGCAGACCGGAAAAGCTCCAGAGCCTTGGAACTTGGACTAACCCGGGAGCCCGCCTGGCAACTGCGCACCTCAGTGCAAAAGAGGGCTGCCTTGTCCAAGCCCTCCTTGCGATGTCGGCTCACTCGGACACTTCCGGACTTCCGGACTTCCGGACTTCCGGACTTGCTCCTTCAGTTGGAAGTAGATGGAAGCAGCTGTGTGCAGCGCAATGGCCAGGTGCGTAGGCCTTGGGTCCAGTCCCTTGCATCTTGTGCATCCAATACCAAGCGCCTGCCACCTTCCTCCTTCCAGTCTTCAGCTGCATCCTGAGTCTTCAGCTTGTGCTTTCGAGTCAGGTGCTTTCCATTCGATCCGAGTCTTCGAGTCTTCGAGTCTTCGAGTCCCGCCTCCGCGGAGAGGAGGGCGCAGTCCAGGCCAGAGGTAGTGATGCGACACCTCCGCAGTCCAACTCTTTGGAGTCGCGCGTCGGCTCGAGTCGGCTGCAGTCGGCTCGAGGGCTCGAGCGGCTCGCCCGAGCGCCAGGCTTCACGATGAGCATCATGGCCACCACCTCCAAGTCCCTGGCGCGCGGATTTCGGGTTTAGGGATCTGGATAGAGTCTCTAAACACGCTAGGCAAACAGCTCGCCGGCATCGTGGAACAAATCCTCAGGCAAGAAATTCATTCACACGGCGCGACCGCGACCGCTAAAAAGAAAGTCGCCGTCCTTGGCATCCTCAGCCAGTCTCTCACCATCCATCTGCTGATCCTCATCCTCCAGGCCTTGAAGCAAAGCCGAACGCATCGGCCAAAGCCCCCAAAACCGCGCCTACCAGCGCCAAAGCGGCTCCAAGCATCGCCCGGCCCTGCCACGTCTGGTCTTCGAGCTTGCGGTAGACCTGAATCTGAAGGTGCTGGCTCTATGTACAAGGTCATTCGCAAGACAAAACAGGCAGCAAAATGCCCCACACTGAAGTGAGAAGCCTTCTCTTCGGCTGTTCTCCCGCTCTCCCATGCTCTCCCCCTTTCCTAGTTTCTCTTGTGCCAGTCCCGAGTCCCGACGGCCTCGGCCGCGTCCCGCATGGTCTTGGCCGCAGCCTCGAGCGCCTCCTCGCGGGCCGCGCTGAAGGGCGACTGCAGCGCCTTCGTCAGCTGGGCGTCGCCTGGGCTTGCACCAATCCGAGCAAAAACCGACCCATCCGACCAATCCGGTTCCACGACTCAACATCTGATGCGACTCAACAGAGGCCAAGTCACCCAGGACAAAGAGCACTTCCGCATGCAGCCTGGTGTTGGCCTGAGCTTGCAACGAGTTTTGCCACGCTTCACGATGGTCAACCGGTCCTCACCGAGAGACTCCAAGACGCCGAGAGCCTGTGCTAGAACGAAACTGCCAAATGACAAAGACGTGCCGTGCGTGCCACACTGACAAGGATGACATGGAAACGCATAAAACTATCATAAAACGATCATAAAACGATCATAAAACTATAAAACCATTTTATACCTGGTCGCGCCTTCGTGGCTTCAGTGATGGCTGCCACCGGCGCATCCAGCTCCTTGAGGCGGCTCAAGTGCACCCGAGCGAGGGCCTCAGAACCGAAAACCTGGACACTCCGTCTCGCATTTGTTCCCTGCCTTGAGGGCCGCCACCTCGGCGTGCTTGTCCTTGGTTTCTATCCGTCCGTCGATCTCTGAATTCTCGTTACTCTTGGATCTTTCGGGAAAGGGCTCGCACCTCGGCATCCTTGGCCAGCTCCAGGGCATCCTTCACGGTCCACAGGACCTCCCCGAGGCGGGCCATGACCATCTGCTGGCGGACGCTGGGCAGGTAGGCCAGCGCCGCACACCGCCCGGCCAGCTCCGTCTTCACGGTCTGGAAGAGCACCAGCTCCACCAAAGCCAGCGCCAGCGTCAGCGGCTTCAACGGCTTCAACGGCTTCGAGCCCTCCTTCGAAACCGCCTGCGTCTCTTCCCGCAGCTCCTCCACCCGCCGCCACTGGCGCCGCAGCTCCCCGGCCTCCGGGAGACCCTGGAGGCCAACGTCCGCGCTCGCCACGAAGGCCACCGCGGACTCCACCAGCGCCCGCGCCTGCCGAGCCCGACGGCTCCGAGACGACTCCGAGGAGTCCGACGGGGCGCATGTTCGGAGTGGACATCCTGACTGCGTGCAGTGAGCAGAAAAAAACCATCCGTCCTCCTCTTCAAGTTCGGGGTCCATGGCAACGGCTAAAGGCGAGGGCTCAGAGCTGAGCTTGGACTTTCCTGAGATGCCCTGATGGGTTTGACCGAGCTGGTTGCATTGGGTGGGGCTTTCAGTAAAAACTGCAGTGCCACAAAGTCCATACGAAGATTGCTCCATTTACAGCCACAGCTGCTGACAACGTCCAACTCTGACTGCAAGAATTCTGAGAAGAGGAAAGAAAGCGTCGGTCACGGGTCAACAATTTTTTTTGCCCACACTGAGTAAGCCTCAGCAAAACCAATCGCAGCACCAACATGCTGTTGAAAGGGCCAGCCCTGCTCAAAGTTTCAAAAACTTCGCAAAACACAACCGTCACAAGATTGAACAATCCAGAGCAAAGCTTGGCGGCCAGTGGCCTTGACACTAACGGGACAATTAAACTGTCCGGGCTTCGAAAGGTGCTTGCAACCTGGCCACAGCTCACTGGCTGCAGCACCGTGACACTGTAGAAACTGGAACGTTGCGGACTTCGAGGTGCTCAATTCCTCATCTGCACTTGCGAGCTGTCGCTCGGCAACAGCTGCTGCCGGGCCTGTCGCATCTGTCGCATCTGTCGCTGGCTCAAGCCAAAGCCAAATGCCGGCCCCGCCTGCTGCTGCGAGTTCGCGCGATACTTGTAGGCTGCGAAGCCAAGCCCTGCCAGCACCACCTGGCGCATGCACTCTCGCTCGGCTCACTCAGCTTGGCTCCGTGCCAGGGCGAGCAAGATCCAGATCCAGGCATTCGAGCCTGAAAGACCCAGACATGCACACGAACCACACGAACCACACGAACCACACGAACCACGCGACCCACACGGCAGACTTGGGGTCCATTTCAGTCTTTCCGCTACGTGATATGACGCTACGCGTGGCTCAGTGCCTAACCTGGCTTGCCACTCGGACCGTCTGGGCTTGGATGCCAGTCCACATCGGAGGACTGATTGATGAGAGTCTCAAAGTTCGTCCATGCCTGGGCAAAAACAAGCCTCCAAAGTTCCCGTGCCGGCATCCGTGCGCCTCCTGGGGATTGGTGGGTGGCTGGTAGTGCCAGGTGGAGTACACGGCGGAATCAAAGCCACCCTGTGCGACAAATCTGGTCGCCCTCTTGAGAGAAATGCACAGGCGCCTGGTTCTTGATGGCTCCGCCCCTTCCCGAGACAATCCGCCCAGCAAACTTCACCATCTCCTGACTCGAGGTGGGTCCCTTAACCGTCACGACCACTTGCCTGCCTTGTTGTCCATCATCCTGGCAAGACGCAATGTAAGGATTCTTTCGTTGAAAAGAGTTGGCGTGGGTCGGGGTCCTCGCTACGTTCAGAAAGCCAGCTGCAGTCAACTCTGAATCGGAGCCGTCGCTGCCCGTGACATTGCAGCTGCCAATGCCTCGCTTGACACAAGAAACACAAGACACAAGTGAGCTCAAGTAGCGAAATTCAAGTAGCAATGGAAAGCGCGGGCCAAATCTGGGCCCCTTGCCGTAGAGGCAGCAAAGCTTCAAGGGATCGTCGTCCGCGCATTTAGTCTCGGTTGGGGGAGTGTTGCCCTTCTCCTGGCAGCTCTCGCAGAGCGTTTGGCAGTCTGGGAGGCCAAGGCCTTGAGGACGGTGAAGGGGCACATCGGCCTGCGGCTCTCGCTCGCTGAAACAAAGCCGGACTTGAGCTCGCTAACTGGGCTCCCTGGCTGAGACTTTGGGTCGGGATAGGGCCTACAGCCGCGCTTTTTCGCAAGCGCACAAGCGCGCAAGCACGCAAGCGCGCAAGCGCGCACGGCCCGGACCGAGGGCGACACGGGTCGGTGCCGGGGATGTAGCAAGTCGAGCACACGCCACCTAGGCATTCGCCTCTCATCTCTCGCAATCGCATCTCTCGCAATCCGGATCCGGAGCGGCGGATCCGGGAAATCGCAGAGCTGAGCCTTTCACCGAAGAGACGGGTGCAATAAGGGCCACCATCAGGGTTGGGAGTGCACTGGTTCGGCCTGCAAAGACACCCTTTGCGTGCGCATGGCCAGTCTCTCAAATGAGAGCTGGGCACGGACGAGTCTTTCGAAGAGCATGCAGGGCTTGCATCCATAGTTGCCTGCGCAATGGCAAAGCTTGATGAAGGACTGAATGACATATGATCGAATTTTGGCGGTCCCACTATCTCGTTCATCTGGGGTAGTGTTCATTGCTGCTTGCTCAAGCCCCGCATCAAGCTTCTCCGTCAATCATGTGTCTTCAGTCGCTTGAATTTGTGGCCCTTTTGCATGTTCAAAGCGCCTTGTCAACCAACCAGTGCGAGTCTTTCACCGCATCCTTCAGGAAGTACCCCCTGACATTCCGAAAGTGAAAACAACATGCGTAGTTTGCTTTAAAACGAAAAGGAAATACAAATCCCCTCAAGGTGGGAGTTGAAGACTTGCTGCCAGGGCGCGCGACCGCCTCTGCCCGGCGCTGGTTGTCGCGCACCTCGACATGCTACATGGATCCACACGGATCCACGTGGGACCGCGATCTGACGATGCGACCGCACCTCGCACTTCCCCTTCCAGAACGGCAGCCCAAGCTCCTTGTCCTCGGGCTTCAGGGCCATGCAGCGCGGGTCCTCGAAACAAAAGTCCAAAGAAAAATGAAAAGCAAACAGACGAAAGGCAAGCACTTCATCAACCGCGACTCCTTGCAAAGGTCTTGCGTCTCTTGGCAGTACGGGTGCAGGTCGTACTCCACGCAGAAGGATGTATCCTCCAAGCTTTGAAGCAACGAGCATCGAGGTCGAACTGACCCGGCCTGCACCGAGACACTCCATTGCCCTGCAGAATGACAGTCTTCGCAGTGGTAGCGCTTTTTGAACTGCCTGGCATACATCTGATAAGGTCAAGCCAGTCGACCAACGCGAATAAAGACAAGCTGCTTCTTTGGATCGTAGCAGTTGAGGCGCCAGTCTTTCCAGTCTGTACACTTCCTGCAATTGCCAAAGCCAGGCGAAATACTTTCCGAGCTGCCTCCAGAAGCCCTGCATGCTTCATTCGTGCCTTTAATGGTAGCACAAATCAAGTCGTTTGGGTTCGAGCTCTTGAACTAAACATGTGCCGGCTGCTTGCGCAACACGTAGACATGCCTTTGCACGCCCGGTTTTCTCGTACACATCCAAAGCACTTTCTTCATCATCATGCGTGAAACACTGCTGGGTTCACGCAAACGGACAACTGCGATTGTGCGCCTGTTGCCTTTGGCACCGCACGGCATAGATGTAATACCTTGGATGAGATCGAAGACAAAATCGTGCGAGCTGACTGCCCGGCCGTTGAGCTCATCGATGTTGAGGAAGTCTTTGTCACCTAATTCCTCGAAAAGGCAGATAGAGGGCTCTGATCTTAAAACTCGCCCTCTCACCTCGTAGGTGTACACGCAGCCGATCTCACCAGTTGGCTCCTTGACGGAGGAGTTGCAAAGGCCACCCATGATGACCTGCGCCCATCGCGCCCGCGCCCGCGCGGGTCCCAAGAGCTGAGTCACGCCTGGTCAGGATGAGAGCTGTAGTGCAGGCAGCATTTCCGCGCCCTCAAATCCATCTCGCATGAGCCAAGTGAGCCAAGTGAGCCAAGTATCCATTTAATGCATGTTTCTGGGCCGAGCAGCGTCTCAGTGTCAGATGGATCGATGAAGTGTGGGCTGGCAGAACAGTTGCGGGCGTCCTGCCCCGAACAAAACCCCGCCTCTGTGGAAACGATCGAACATCCACGCCTTATCCTGCTTCCCGGCGCAGCCGTCCGGGTCACAGGGCTGGGGCTTGGTTGGCGGTGCCTCGATCGCCATTTATCCGAGTGACGCGACTGACACGATCGGGCTTTGCCGTGAGTCTCGCAGAGACCCGCCTCGGCCTCGCAGCCCGGGAAAGGCTTCACGCACTGCCACGGCCTCGGCGAGCGCTCCGTTCGCTTTTGGGCTGGATGTGTGGCCGTTCTCGGCATCCAACAAGTTGGGGCAGTCCCCATCTACAGAGAACCAGTACCACGGGTGGGTGAAGTTGATCTGCGGCGAGTCCTGTCGCTTTGCTTTCGGAGAACAAACAAGGAGAAGAAAATAGACTTTGCCGTCCTCCTTGCTCACCCCCACATAGTCGCCGTTTGCCACGACGCCTTGGAGCATGTCCTGGACATTCACTGCACATTTGCACCTCTTGCTAACAACTTTCGCCCGTCCAGAGAGGTTCCAACGCCATAGTCGAAGGCTCCATAGCCTAAGCAAAGCCAATGCAAAGACGGCTGGGCTTACGTCCAGGGTCCACACGTCCGAAGCCTGGCATTGCCAACTTGCTAGGGTCCTGAGAAAGGAGCAAAATGATGCATTTGTCCAACAAGCAAACCTAAGCAAACCCGGACCTTCAGGATGGAATCCGGATTCCGCACTTTCATGCGATACTTGCCAAAGGCATTGATGTTGTACTTCCTGCCGTCAGAAATATGACAAATGACAGATGGCTGAAAGGGCACTTGCCATGGGCTCAGAGGGCTCCTGGATGGTCGGCCTGGATCACCCGCTACGTGCTCCACGATGACTTCCTGGTGCACGTAGCCTGGCGCAGATCGCGCACATCAAGGGAAAAAAAAGGTACACGAGCTCCGCACGCAGCACGCCCATCACATCCGCCAGATTGTTGTTGGATACTGGGAATGACTCCTTGAAAACATGCAAATAGAATGAAAAAACAGTACACCAGCATAGACCCCAGACAGCAAAAAAACAGGTCGCCTTTGCTTGATTGACAGCCAGGTGCTAGGGGCATGCACTTTGGGTGCTGGTGCAGGTGCCATTTTAAGGCGCTGGTAACGTGGGGCGCATGTTTGCAAGATTGACGGTCGGGCGCTAGGGGGCATGCAGTTTGGGGCTGCTTGAGGTGCTGGTGACGGTGTGGGCGCATTTTTGCAAGAAACGGCCGAGGGGGCCTGCAGTTTGGGGCTCCGACGCAGGCGCTGTTGGAATCCTATGAAAAAAGAGCACTGCACCAGTAGCACTTCTCCGTCCTTGCCCTTATCTGGCTTGGTCATGGCACGGTACATGTCCAGCGTCTGAGCCAAGCTCTCTGCGTGGACGCCTGGCGTGCCGCATGGCGTGCCGCATGGGGTGCCGCATGGCAACCAGCTCGCGTCCGCGCGCCTGTCATCGCGGCCAGGAGCAGAGCTGAACATCTTCGGACTCGGAAGACTTCGTCTCGAAGATTCCACGGCTCTTTCACTCTGAGCCCATGGCGAGCTGATCGCATGGTCACAACGCTCAGGAACTGGGCCGACGGGCTACCCTGTGAGCCGCAGGGCACTTGCTTCCTTCATGATCCTTCACGCCGTTGCAACCCCGGCAATCCGTGCTCATGTCCAGCAAGCAAGTTGGCAAGGCTTTTCTCCGTGTCTTTCCATCCGGGGACCATTTGAAGTGTGCAGATTCGAACAAACTACAAAGACATTTGAGACATTTGAGACTTCACATCGCACGCACAAAACTCGGGTGGATGCCCGGAAGCCGCCGGGAAAGGGCCGAGAGAGCCCGGTTCACTTCAGGATGCCGCTAGGCCCCGGTATTCATCATGAGACAAATGTTGTCGCCCTTCAGCAAGATGCGGCCTCAGAGCTCCCGAAAGCTGCCTTGACCCATGCCGTTCGGTGCGGTGGCATGCGATGTCTTTCGAAATGCTGCATTGCCAACCTGCTTGATTGGCACTTCTGGGAAGACAAGACTCCCTAAACAGCGATGTGTGTGTGTGTGCAAGCACGAAGCCGCACAAAACTATGTAGTCCAAACATGTCAAGTTGTCCACGATCTGATCCCAAAGCCATCAGATCCTGTAGACCATCACCATGAGAATTGGCTTGAGCCATTTGGGGATCACACCATCACATTCACTGCATGTCAGGGGAGCCTGAAGGGCCTGAAGTAAGGTACTGACCGATAGCACGGCGAGTCTTCTTCTTCACCATGATCTCCTGGCGGTTGCAAAGGGTGCATTTTGGGATGAAAGAATGGCCCAACCGATCCTCCGCATCATCAATAACAAGATTCATGTACCTGGGCAAAATGCACCGAAGCCCTCAAGTCAGTCTGAATCAGTCTGACAGCCAACAGGTCGTACCAGGCACTGCAAGACCAGAACTAAGCTGTGGCACTCGTCAAAACCCAGGATGCGGCCCTCGATCCTCAGATCTGCCTGCTCGTGAAGCCACACCTGGCCCATGATAGCCCCGCTGATGGGCTAGCCCCCGCACGGCAGCCGAAGAAACCTACAGCTCACGCATATCGGGCCTGCACACGAGATCTGTTCTGAAGATATCTGAAGATCTGATTGATCGGCAGCGTCCTGCGTTCTGCTTCAAGGCAAAAAGCGACTTTGGCCCAACTGGAGAATGAATGAGAACCCCCCCTCTTTTTTGCAGAGAATCTGGTTCTCAAGTCTCCCACAAACCCGCAAAACCTCAAACGTGCAATTTGTGGCCGGGGCCGTGCCGAGCCCTAAGGTTTTGATGGCCAAGCTTAAGCCAAGCGGTCATAATCTTCTGGAGCTTCTTGTTGCTGATCGCCATGGCGGAAATGGGAATAACGAGCGAGCTCTCGGCTCTCGGCTTGATGTCTCGTCCCGCCCTGGGTTTTTCGATGCTGAGCCGAGACAGCCGAGAAAAACGAAGAGAACGAAGGGAACGAAGGGAACGACTGAAGACGTGACTCGCGACTGACTGAAAACGTTGACGCAGATCCCAATGGAAGCTTTTGCAGGCGGTCGCAGCGGCACCTCCTGGCGCGCAAATCTCGGGGGATGGCCTCACCAGTCATCACCAGTGCCTGGCGAAGCACTCGAACTCGATTCGTCGAAGCTTGCGTCGCTTCAGTGTGAAGAGCAGTCCCATCTTGTGGGGATACGATCGAGGTACCTTCCTTCCTTTCACCAACTCTCGGCTATGGCGCTCGCACGGCCTTTTTCAGGCACCGGCTTTGGGTGGCTTCCGCTTCGAGGCATCCACTATTAAGTTGAAAACCATGGCGTGGGAGCCGCAGTGGTCCTTCTTCTTCGCCACCTCCGCGGCAGTTCTGCCGGCGGAGTTGGTCAAGCCAGGGTCAGCGCCTTCGGCCAACAGCACCCGCACCAGGTCTTCGTCGGCCATCTCTGCAGCCTTGTGCAAGGGATAGGTGGACCCGAAAAAGCCGACGCGCTTTGGCTCGTTGACGCCGGCAAAGCCTTCACGCTCCAGAAATGCTGATAGCTCAATTTTCGTTTTTGGCAGCTGCTGCAGCTTGGTCTGCAGCTCCTCTCGCTCCTGCTGCAGCTGCTGCAGCTGTTGCTGGAGCACCGTCGGAGTCGGCAGGCCGCGCTTGCGCCCGTGGACCTCCGCATCGCGGGTCTCGCCCTTCGCCTCGTCCTTCGCGTCATCCTTCGCCGCGCTTGCCTCGCATTCGGGGGGCAGTCGTAGGGGTCGTAGGGGTCGGGGCGCCGGCGCACCCGAGGGGGGCACAGGAGGCACAGCTTCCGCGGGCACTCCGCCCCCTCGTTCCCGGAGCTGTGCCAGGTCGATCTTGATTGTGCTCTTTACGGGGTCTTCGCCAATGCAGTTCCCGCATTTCAGGTCGCAAAACATGGCTCCGGCCCTCACTCGATCCGCAGAAGCACAAGCTCGTCCGAATTGCACGAAACGAGATTGCGGCAACCTGGCAACTCGCCTCCTCAATGGCCTGGCCAAGGGAGCGCAAGAGAGCGGGAAAAAAGAGGAATACAAAAACGATGGGTGCGAGTGCCCCCAGCGCCGCCCGTGCTGAGTACAAGTGCCCGTGCCTGGTATTCGGGCTCCAGGAGGCGCTTGAAGTGGTGCACCAGTGACGCATTGTCGCCTCCGACTCTCCAACTCACAACTTCCGGCAGCGGCTCAAGGTCCAGACATAAATCAGTGCGAGGACCGGAGAGCACGTTCCTGGCCAGAAATCCATGTCTCATGGGACGCAAAGGAAACCTGCCTCCGCGGAAACCTGGCCTCAAAGACTCGATCTGCCCTCTTTCATATATTTGTTTATTTGTTGCATATTTCTTCCTCCTCTTGCTGTGGCGGCGGCATCGGCGGGGAAGGGCGCCGCCCCCAGGAACCGCGCCAGGCGATCGTAGGTCTGGCGCGGAGCTTCTGCCAACGCGTCCTCGCCAGTCTGACTCGGACTCGGATTCGAAATGTTTCAACACTTTGACGCGGCCCGGGTCCTGGTGCAGAAGAAGCAGCCGATCGCCGAAGAGCTCCAGCAAGCCTCGAGCCCGGACGCTCCTTTCGCTCCTGTCGGTCCTTTCGGTCCCTTCGGTCCCTTCGGTCCCTTCGGTCCCTTCGGTCCCTTGGCACGGACCCTTCGGCATGCCCCATGCCTGGCAGCAGCTGGCCGAAATGGTAGCGCTCCAGCAACGGATGCTTCATTGCCTCCCTGAGTCACGGCGCACTCGCGCACACAAGTCCTTCCTAACTTCCTCGAAAAACATCCGAGGATGGAGAAAGCCGAAAAGCCGAAAGTGAGGGGGGAAAAAAGCAGCTGGCCGTCCGAAGGCTTCAAGGCGAGCTGCGGGTTGGTTTGCAGCTGCCGCCGGTGCTCCTCGGACAAAAACCCCCCGGCCACGTCCTCCAGGGCTTCCGCGACGCTTCGCCAGCACCGGGGTGGCCGGTCCTCGCGAATGTCGAGTCACCGGACTCAAACATGTTCAAAACCCGGCTGAACCCCTAAAAAAAAAGGAAAAAAATGAGCACAATCGTTCAAGATCGTGAAAAACATCGATTTACCACACATAGCTGACATAGCTCAGGCTCCTTCAGCTCCATTGGGCCTGGCCGATACTTGGCTGCCGTGGCCTCGTTGCCATAGCACCGCCACATGTGGTCCACCTCGGGCCGGTGGCCTCAGGCCTCAGGCCTCTCGACTCGGCACCCCACCAGGAAGAATCTCTCCAAGCGACCTAAGCGGCAAGCAGCTGCAAGCACTCGACTCACTCGACAAGTCATGAGATGTCAGTCTGTCAGTCCCAGGCCCATCGGCTCACACAGGATGAGGATCCCCCGAAGATGCCGAACTCCTCGCATCGTGATTCGATATTTTCCTCTTTTCTTCTTCTTTTGAGTCGCAGCAAATCGACGCAACTTGCACGCTGAGCAGCTCTGCAGCCCATGCCTTTGCAGAGCAGCCCATCGAACGAGGGGCGAATCCAAATGAGAGTCTGTGGAGTCTGTCGAGTCTGTCGAAACTATCCAGTCTAGGGACAGCAGCCTGGCATTGGAATACAGGCCGGAGTGGCGGTAGCCAAGAAGGCCTCAGACTTTGCAACGCTCTCCCGAGCTGCGGCTACGGCTACGAGGCTTGCCGTGGGTCCCGTGGGTCTCGTAGCGCGACCCAAACACCTGGCCGAGACTCGAATGGAGGCTGTCTCGCTCACTTCCAAGCTCCTTCCCACCTCAACATCCTCTCTACGCGGCAGGATGCTCTTGTGCCGAAACAGGAATGTGTCCTCGCAAGCGCGCCTCTCACCAGCACCCGTTCAACTCTTGAGTCCTCCCCATCCGGTCGCATGAAGGCAATCTCTGGGTGCTGTCCCAGGTTGAAGTGCAGCGACGTGGTACCACAGCGATTGATGCCCAAGATCTCAGCTTTGGGCATGGCCGGTTGCCGCGAGTGCGCTCAGAGGCCGGCAGCGAAGTCCAGAGAGATCTCCTAACACGCGAGAGTCCTCTCTTGCTCTCTCGCTCTCTCGCTCTCTCCTTCTCGTTAAAATTGGTTGCTACTTTTACTTACAAGTGCAAGTGCTGTAGTGCTCAAACAAACAGTCAACCAATGTAGTCTGCAGCTGCCATCCTTTTGACTCATGCGATGTAGTGAGCTCAAGGCCTGCAGTAGTGAACATACATGCAAACACAAATGCAGGGAGTGTAGCACGTAGCTTGACACGGCCCCTCAGTTAAAAGGTCTTTGTAGTACTTTGTAGTACCTTTTCAACTGAAGTGCAAAACATGGATTGACAGTAGTGATGAAAACCATTGTTGTTCATCAATTCTACTGTAGTGACAAAAAGGTAGTAACCTGCACTCAGTAGTTCACGCTGTTCATGTTCCAGCTCGATGTAGTGGCGCTGGATGGAATTCGTGAGGCAGTTACTCATTGTGGTAGAGCAGGAGCTCAAGCATGTAGTGCCCAGTTCTGGGCGCGGTAGGCTTGGACCATCTGTAGTCGACTGTCCAAGGTCGCGTAGTAGTGGGTGGTGAAAAAGGTTGTCATGTAGTTTGGAGCGCCTCGTAGTCTCTCATCGTCTATCTCAGGGCACGACATATGTTGGTTGTAATCCCTAAGGAAACGATGTAGTAGTGCTTTGTGGTGTTGGGTAAGGTTGGTCATGGTGAGTAGTGTAAAGCCATAGTACTGGATGCTTTTGCACAGGATGGTAGTAATTGCCTTGTGTTGAAAGTCGTGGAGTTGGTCGCGGTTGTAGAGGTAGTGGAGTAGTTCCGGTAGAAGTAGTGGCATGTGATAGTTCCAAATGTAGTTATTCCTCAGGCTGTAGTTGTCGGTGAAGGTAGTCATGTCGTAGTCCACCTTGTAGATGGTCTGTGGATGTTGTGTAGTTGGGAAGTAGTAGTTCTGTTGTACTGACATCATGTATGAAATGTAGTCTCTGGTGAAGTGGAGAAATTGTCCTGAAGTGAGATAATTGAGAAGTAGTTGTTGTCCAATCTGTAGTTGGATGATGACGTAGTTGGTGTTGTAGTGCGGAGTGAAGTCGTGTGGTAGTAGTGGACGTTGGCTGCTTCAGGTAGTGAAACGCTGAGCAGTGTGGAATTGTAGTGGGGCATCCGGAGGTCTCCAGGGATGCAGTGAATGGGTCGTGTGTAGTCCAGTTGTGAAAGTGGAGTTGCCTGTTGTTGTGAGAGTAGTTGATACTCTTCCAGTGTAAGTGCAATGAAAAACTGAGTGTAGGGTGTGTTGTCAGGCAGTGGTGGAGTAGTGGTTGTCTGGTACTCCGTGATGTGTAGCAGGCGTGGAGTGATTGAAGCGGTAGTTGGACTTGTTGTAGGTCTGAGGGGGTGGAGTTCCTTGGTCACTGGAGTCTGTAGTGACCGCCACCTCCGGTGTAGTCGCCCTGTCAGGCGTAGTTGCGTCTCCCATCGTAGCATCTGCAGTAGATGGAGCGGCCATGGCTGCAGTTGAATGCAAAATGTAATGAAACGGGAAAAAATGAGCCTAAGTAGTAGCTATCAGGCAGGCGGCGCATGCAGACATGTAAAACAAACAACTGTAGTGTTGACTCAGCCGCCAAAAGTGCAAGTGAAAATACATGTAGTTACTGTTACTTACATACCAAAGGTGTCGTGTTACATGTAGCTACTTACATACAAGAAATGTCCAAGGTCGTTGTTGTTGTTGTTGTGAAACTGTTGCGCTGGCCGTTCGTAGTGCTAAATGCGTATCCCAATGCTCTGGATGAGCCTGTGTAGTGTTTCTTTGCTGATGTATTTGGTAAACAAACCTGCGCTGTTGTGAAGTGTGTTGATCTTAAGGATTCTGATGATGTCGTGTTTGA